AGTTAAACAGCTTAGAGGAAGAGCAGAGAAAGCTGCACCCTCAGAGTGTGAGAAAGGCTGCATTCACCCTATCACGCGTTTTGTTAGAAAAAAATCAAAATGATCCCTCAATCCAATTTTATCCTGATTATAAAAAGCAGGTTTCACAAGTATGCTCCATTTCCTTAAGGAGCGAATGTACTGGCTGCCACGATTAGCAGATACACTGATCAGCCATAACATTATGACCACTGACGGGTAACATGAATAACACTGACTATCATGGCACCTGTCAGTGAGTGGGATATATTAGGCAGCAGGTGAACATTTTGTCCTTGAAGTTGAATTTAGAAGCAGGAAAAATGAGCAAGTGTGAGGATTTGAGCGACTTTGACAAGGGCCAAATTATGATGGCTGACAACGTCGGAGCATCTCAAAAACTGCAGCTCATGTGGAGTGTTCCCAGTCTTCAGTAGTCAGTATCTATCAAAAGTGGTCCAAGGAAAGATGATCTGTGAACCGGCAACAGGGTCATTGATGCATGTGGGGAGTGAAGGCTGGCCCATCTAATAGACGAGCTACTGTGTGCTGGTTCTGATAGAAAGGTGTCAGGCCACACAGTACATCACAGTTTTTGCTTATAGGGCTGTGTAGCTGCAGACAAATCCGGGGGTCAGTGCTGACCTCTGTCCACTGCCAAAAGCACCTACAAAAGGCACATGAGCATCAGACCTGGACCACAGCAATGGAAGAAGGTGGCTCGGTCTGATGAATCACGTTTTCTTTTACATCACTTGGATGGATGCGTGCACGTCCCTTTCCTGGCCATCACATGGCACCAGGACGCACTATGGGACGAAGGAAAGCCGGCGGAGGCAGTGTGATGCTTTGGGCAATGTTCAGCTGGGAACTCTGTCCTGCCATTCATGAGAATGTTACTTTGACATGTACCACCTACCTAAGCACCTGTTGCAGACCATGTACACCCTTTCATGGTAACTGTATTCCCTGATGGCAGTGGCCTCAGGATAATGTGCCCTGCCACAAAGCAAAAAATGGTTCAGGAATGGTTTGAGGAACACAACAATGAGTTTGATGTGTTGACCTCCAAATTCCCCAGATCTTAATCCAATCAAGCATCTGTTGGATGTACTCATGGAGGCCCCACCTCTCAACCTACAAGATTTAAGGATTTGCTGCTTACTAGGGTGGTGATGGTGCAATGGATAAGATGCCTGCCTTTGGTGTGAGAGACCCGGGTTCAATACCCCTCTGTGACCCATCCACCATTGTGTCCCTGAGCAAGACATTTAATCCCTAGTTACTCTAGAGCGACCTCTGACATGTAGCAATTGTAAATTGCTTTGGATAAAAGTGTCAGCTAAATGAATAAAATGTAAATTAGGCAGGTGGTCATAATGTTATGGCTGATCGATTGAAAGTTCTCTGGGACTGTGCTACAAAGCAGGATTTAAGGTTAGCGAGGTAACTTCAGGTTAAACCCTGGATTGTCAGTCCTACAAGGGTGCCATAGTAACTGAACAGCTTACCTGCTCCATAGCAGGTTATGTTTGATATAAGAGATCACCGCTATAAAAACACTGACTACTGACCAATCACATCTCTTCAAAAATGACATCACCATCCCACAGACTGTCTTAAAGGCTATTTTTTGCTCTGGGTGATGCGGAGACTCCATTGTATTGTTCCTAAGTTCGTTTCACACAGCCTGTCGCGGCCGCTAAAATAAATGGGGTTTTTAGGCTGAATATAATGAGCATATATTTTGGTAGGCCTATTGAAATAAAATTTAGGCTAATATGAATTTGTTTATTATAACTGGGTTGCATTTGTTTCTTATATTACAGAGACTGGTCATGTAGCTACCACCCCACCTTTTGTTATTTGGGCCAGGTAACGTGGGTGAGTTTTCAGCAAATGCTGGCATTCAGTATATCAACCATTATTTGGTCACTTTTTATGGCATAAATGGATTTTTTGTTTCATTGCTTTATAAAGTTAATTAAGAACAATGTTTGGAACATTTTTGAGTGTGTGAAATCTTATAATATTAAAATAGTGTTAATCTGATATTTTAAGTGATGAGAAGTTAAACCACCACTTATTCAGTGCCCAAGGCCTTTTAATGGCAAAACGCCAACATAGCCGAGCTGAAAGAATAAGGCTAAAATTGTCATACACATTATAAGAACGTAGAAAAGCAATACATTCATATTATACGCCTGTTAACTTTGGCGTTCACACAGAATTTTCTGTCTTAGTGCATTTGGCAGCTGTGTTGCTTTTAGCCTAGATTGTGTGCTTAACTATATGGTATTTGTCTAACATTATAGTTTGCTCTTCGTTTGTAAAATATGCCCCTCTGCTGCCAGTAGATTTGTCCATGTTTGCAATTGGTCATGTGCTGCAAAGACTACGCCTTTTTATGTGAATGCACTCATGGCTGGATTGGGAAACCCTGGGTTGACTTAGCGAGTTGACAACCAGCTTCGTGTGACAGTGGGAAAAGATATCCTGAGTATGTTGAACTTCTTCATAGTACAAGCACCAGGTGTCAGAAATTAACAGAAAATCCCACAACATAGTCACACTGATCCACATAATTACGATGATTACCAACTTTCTGCTGTTGCATTCAGCCTGTAAGCTGTCATGGAATTTACCTATGAAGCATCAGATTATGCTGCCTCTTCTATGGGATTAGTTTCATCACGAAAAACAACATCAACATTGTAAGCTATGAATATGTACATTCTACTACTATTATATTTACCAGATGTTTGGCTCTGCCTATAAAGTAAGGTTCAGTACCGAACGTCCAAGTACAGAAGGATGTTTGTTGGGGGGGAAACAAGTTTGATTATGGCTTTGTTTAATTGGGGTTTGTGGGAGTCTAATAACTGTGTGCCTGGCCAGGACTGAAAGGACCAGTCCAGCCCTCTTAAATACTGCTGCCCAGTTAGATATCATCCATTTTGTTGTACCAAGTTTTTTTTATCTACTTCAGTTTGTGACTGCCCACATTACTCACAGTGCGTTTTTGGAGTGAACTTGTTGCTTTCATCTACAAATAGGCGTAGGTACACACAAATCCTTACCTTTTTATATTTATCTAGCTTGAGTGTTGAGATGGTCACACCCTCAACATGGCTGCTCTGAATTCTGATCTTGTTATCATTATGTATTGCGCAGAAGTTGGTATCTTTGCCAGTGCTTTGATGGATTTCTTCTTGCACGGTTAGACAGCAGTGGTAGTGGTAAATCTGGATATAAGCCCTTGATGTTTCCTTATGTGGGACTGAGGCCAAAATCAACATTTAGTGTTAATTGTTTAGATCAGTGATTCCCAACCAGGAATACTTGTATCTCAACAGGTACTTCTGCAGTGGAGTATGTAGAAAGCTTAATTAATTAACTCAACTAACTCATCAAACATTTGACTGGATTTGATTAGAAAGTATATCCACAATTTTTTGTTATGAGGAGAATAAACAACCAAAAGGGATTACCAATTAGAGTGGTGCTGATCTTTTTATGTAAGTTTACAATAATAAGTAAGCCACCCATCATCCTGAGTTATACGTAGTAACACACCCCGTGTTGCTACTGAAAGTGTGTGAAAACTAGGTAGCAAGCAGTGAAATTGAAGTGGTTAGCTATTGTTAATAGTTAACAGTTGAAGTAGTTAGCTAAAAGTAATGAATAAACAGTTAAAATAGTTTTTATAGATTAATAAACAATTAAAATAGATTGTATAATTAATGAATGGTTTAGCTAATGATTAGATAAAGGTTGCAGTACTTGCCCTAAATTAACAGATAAATGGTTAAAGTAGTTTGCTAATAGTAATAAATAAATGGTTGAATTGTTCAGCTTCTGCCACTCCAACTGGTAGTAGCAGGTATGGAAACTTGACCAAACTTAAATGTTTATAATTCAGCTGGATGGAAAAATGATTATTATTATTATAATAGCCACCTTTATATAACTGATACTGTTAAATGGCCAGTTTATAATCCATTCATAAGAACATATTTGGAACATGACAGGTGGTGTCAGTGAAGAGCCACTTGAGTTCATCTGAGAAGACTATGTGGGTGCATCAGACACAAAAGGTTGGGAACCACTGGTTTAGATCACTGGGAGGAAAAAACACACTATCAGGGTCGATCATAGCAGCACTGGAAATAGCGGAATGCAACCTCATGTTCATGTATCGAATAAGACCAAATATGCCAACACAAAATGTATTCATTGCAGGACAGAGTAGCTTTTATAAGGTGTTAAATGTTTAGAGGGTAAATCTTTCTTTTATAACGTCTACATGGTTGACTTTCTAAACATGTAATATTTTTGGCTGCACAGATGCTCACACAATGTTGTGCATCATCTCTATCTACCACCAACTCCGCCCTTATCACCCACACCCTCTCCTGTCTGACTGGCACCCAGAGCGAGACATCAGGTGACTGGTGCAGCTGTGCCTGGCAGGGGGATCTGTGTCAGTTTGTATCAGACCCCACAGTAGTGGACAGCCAGCTGACCTGGTTGGAGTGTAGCCTGCTCAGCCTGCAGCTAGCTCAGCCCAGCTGTATCCCAAAGGAAGAGGCACCCCATCAGCTTGCTTCTTCTTATACAGGGTCATGGTTTGGATTTTGGTAGAAAGAGAAATTTCAGTTAATATGGTTTTTATTCATCAGGAAAGGAACATACTAGGACTAGAGTGGTTTTGGCTACACTGTTGCTGTCCCCCAACTGATGTGGTGTTGGTTTTATGGTTTCATGTTCTCACTGCTTTCTTAGTGTCTGAGTGGGTAGGGAGTTTCTCATGGGAGTCTATCTTAATTATGGTGCTGCAGGTTAATCATTTCTAGCTTACATAACAGCGTCTCAGTCCTGATAATCAGCTTATGGCAACTTTTTATTATTACATTGTCTAAAATAATGTTGGTTATTATCTTCTAACAAATGTTAAATTTGGTCTGATTTGTCCTTTTCAGAAGCTGGCAGCAGAATGTCAGAGCGCAGGCTACAGTGGCACACTGATCCCTTACAAGTGTGACCTGTCCAACGAGGAGGAGATCCTGTCCATGTTTTCAGCAATCAAAACGCTGCACAAGGGCGTGGACGTATGCATCAACAATGCTGGACTGGCCCACAATGAGCCATTGCTCAGCGGAAAGACAGAGGGCTGGAGGAACATGATTGACGTGGGTGGAGCACAGACACACAAATATAAATACTTAGGATGAAACAAGCTGGAGGGAAACTTAGTATTTATTTAGAATAGGCATGGTTAGAATTATTTCTTTCCATTTATGTTATATTGATTTTCATGGTTGCTCTACTCAAACAGAAAAGCAGAAAGAGGAGCTGAAATGGTTGCCTAGTGAGTGGAAGTCTTGTGTTTATAGAGCTTGTGTTGTTCAAAGAATAAGAGGTAAAGCAGAAATGAGTGTAGACATGGGTCTACACACAGAGAGACGCCCCCCCACCCCCACCCCCACACACAGTTTCCTTAGCTCTGAGGAGAAGCCCGGGCACTAATGAAAGCTAGCACTATGTCTCTTGTTGTGACATTCTGATTCATTGAGCTCTTGACCGCTGAAGACCCTCTGGTCTAAAGTATCTGTCTCCAGAGTCCTGCATTCATAACGTTTGTCCATCCGTTGTCATGGCAGCCCACATGGATGTGTACAGCAGTGTATTTTTAACCTGTGTTCAATCTGTATACTGACCTTGTCAGGTCACTTCACCATATCTTGCCACCACGTTGGCTTTAACCTGCCATCTATCAATGTCACTATGGGAGCAGCTTAACCGCCACATGCAGCAGGTTCATCCTGCTGTTCTACCACAGTGACCCCATGAATGTCTGTCATCACATGGCATTCTTAAATGTAATTAATTTATAAATCACATTTAAGTTTTAATAGTAATGTTTTGTCTCACACAACATGAATTTAGTTTCTGGCCTTATTTGAATACAGTGGATAATATAGAGTGATAGAAACACACATTTGCAGGTATACAAATGGTTTCAGTTGTTGTCTTCTCCTGCAGGTAAATGTTTTAGCCTTGTCTATCTGCACCCGTGAGGCATACAAATCAATGAAGGAAAGGAATGTGGATGATGGCCACATAATCAATATTAACAGGTAAGCTATTCAAACACCCGTCAAATCTAAGAACAAATATAGATTAATCTGATAATACCTCACCCAGTTTGTTCAAGGAGATTTCATTTCTGCAGGCATAAAGTACACCCATTTGTGAGCCCCACCTGGCCTCTGTTGGACCTGGAATAATGTTATAATCCTGTGAATTTATAATCTATTAACTGATTCAACTGTCTATATTCAGGAACTGTTCTGGGCGTGTAAAGCCCATCAAGACACTGTATGATGTTAAACCATAAAAATAAATTTGGACTGTAATACCTTAATTTGGGCTTGAATCAAGATTGAGCTACCAAATTTAGTTACCAGCTCATGCGTCTCTTCTACCTGTTACAGTATGGGTGGGCACCGAGTGGTGCCGAGTGCTGATGAGCATTTCTACTGCGCCACTAAATATGCTGTGACTGCTTTGACCGAGGGGATACGTCAAGAGCTTCGAGAAGCAAATACTCACATCAGAGCCACAGTAAGTTAGTTGTTACCATAAGAGCGTGTAGGTTTTCCTAGACATTTGCTTTTCCCCACATGTTGGATTACATAATGTAACTTTAAAATGAGTTCAGGGAAGTTTTGTCCGTGTATGTATCTGTGTGTAAACAGTAAGCAGTTTAATTCTGACGCATTTGCCTCCTCTGCAGTGTATATCTCCTGGAATAGTGGAGACTGAGTTTGCCTTCCGACACCACAACAGTGATCCAGAGAAAGCAGCTGCAGTGTATGAGAGTATGAAAGTAAGAGTGTGCATTTGACTGAGAGTCAACAGATTTATTTCACAAAGTGAAGATACCCATGTGCTATTGCATCAATAGTACCTCTTTTTCCCCCTTTCAGTGTTTGAAAGCAGAAGACATAGCCAGTGCAGTCACATTTGTGCTCAGTGCCCCTCCTCATGTTCAGGTATTGCTTTTTATTTCTTGCTCTCTAGCTTTTATTCCATCAAATACATCATTGTTAAACTGTGGTTGGTATCTGTATTGATTTCCCTTATTTGTGTCATCAGATCGGAGATGTGCAGATGAGGCCAGTAGAGCAGGTGTCATAGCAGTGAAACAGGAAGCTTCAGGAGGAGAAGACAGACAGCAGCCGTGGTGACTCCTTAGCGACCTCTGCTGGGCAAGGGTGGGGTGGGGGGATAAAACAAATCAACTACAGCTGTGTTGGATCAGCAGGGCCATGGTCAAAAAGGGGCTGGAGCCTTAAGGAGGCTGTGCAAGGAAATGAAGGGCGTGGACTTTGTAAACCACTACGAAAATACTACTGAATGCAGCAACCTGATATTTGTGTATTGTTGAGCCCAGTCCTCAAATGAGCTGACTACAGTAGGAACAGATAACAAAGGAGAGAGTTGCTGCAGTGCTATGTGGTCATCTGCACGACCATCACTTCAGAGGGAAGAGTATGCCATTGATTGCACATGTTTTTTTGTTTTTGTAGGTCTTATGACATATCTTTTTGAAATTAAATTGAAAGAGTAATTGCTGTTTATAAGAATTAACTTTTTCGATTAATTTCTTAATATTTTAACTTTTTGATTATAGATAGATGCGGTCTCACTAACCATAGAAAATACTATGTTGTGCTCACTGTAACTAACCATCAGTCCTGTCCATTCTTTTTTCACCGTATGTTTTCACAAACATTCAGCTACCCTTGTTTGGGTCTATCCAGTTTTCAAGCCCATTTAAGGAACCAGGAAAAGTATAAATGAGAGACACCCTAGTCTATTAAGCACATGAGTTTCTACAATCCACCTTTTTGTTCCTGTGAAATTTCAGTTGTTCTGCACTTTGGATTCATTAATGAGGATTTATATGAAGGAAACAAACACTGGTAACTTATGTAGGGGATGAAACTAACTACATGAACATGTATTCCCTAGAAATGTGTACCTTTCAATGGAAATTTCTCCTTAAATAAATAAAAAGGATTGCGCAGACGTTATGGTTTGTGTTTTACAGTCAATTTGTCATTGCAGATATGAGACACAAGCTGTGGACTTCGACAGGTTTTTATTACACCTTACATAACATGATAGAGTTGCGTGACCTATGTACTCCCCTGCCAATCACGTGTGTGTGTGTGTGTGTGTGTATATAATTTTTTATCAGCAGTGCCCTGTTGCATTTGACCTAATAAATGAGTCAGCCACAATGACTAGTACACAGTGGCTTATGTTTTAAAGGGAAGTGGTTTGATACAAAAGCTCAGCTGTATGAACTGTGACTGTTATCGTGGCATTACATTGTCATATCTCAGATTCAAAAGTCATAATTGTATCAACAGACATGGCCAAGAGATGGCACCCTCGGCAAAGCAAAAGCCTGATCCTGAGCACTGATCCTTTGTCTTTTTGTCACTACAGAGTAAAGGTTGGCCAGATATTAAAAATGTACACAGCAATAACACATTCTTAATATTTCCACAACATTTTATCACATTAAAAATAATGAAAACTGTTGGCAGATGTTCAACAATATCTCAAATGAAATTCATAGGCTTACAAAAATGGCCATTTTAATATCTGCACGGCAGATATGCAGCAACACATTTTCACAATCATGTAAATAATTCTTGTATACTAGAGTTTGATTTTCTTACCAGATGTTTGTTTAATATTTAAAACTAAGTGCAAACAATACTTTGTGATTAACTTGAGCTTATTAAAAATCTGCCACTCTTGGTGGCTAGATGAACATTATGATTGTGCAAAGCACAGAGGTATCAGAGGTTTGTCTGAATATGAGGTTTTTCAGGTGGATGGATGTTGGAGCAGATGACAGCAAGGGTTGGACCACCGTCTCTTCCTCCCCTCTCATAATACGGCATTTTAGATATTTCATTCAAGGCGTATGGTGTGATGGACAGCCTCAGTTTCTATAGGAGACATGTACCAGTTATAACCACTTGATTTTGTATGAACATCACCTGGTAACACGTGCACATGGGTACTACCTGCAATGTCTTTGGTAGAAGAAAAGTAAACCGTAAATGTCCGTTACCTGCATGAATGTGCCAGGGAGCACCCACAGTGTGTGGACGGCACCCAAAGGAATCCAGATGATTGAGGCCATGGCAATGACCCAGCCGACCCCCTGAGCCCAGGGAGGGAAGACATAGTCCTCATAGCGGGCTGGTTTGAACTGGATGATGGAGAAAATCAGGATAACCTGCCACAAGAAGAAACATGTAAAGATTAGTTGTAACACCTTCAGATGGATCTCAGTTTTGCGTAAAGGGTGAAAAGTCTTGCATCTAAATCGTTTTTAAAAATGCTGTTTACTTACAGTGATCAGCACAGGAGCAACTATTAGCCAACACAGTTTGAAGAAGATGTTTGCTCTTTTTCCAGTCATCTCTTCTAGGTTGTCTGCAAGGCGAGTCACTCCTGCACATTGAAAGCCACTTCAGTAAATTTTATTAACGTGTTGACAGACTTTAACAGCATTTGACAGTGAAATAGTCAGATATGCACATACAGCCTTACAAATTGTTAAGATGTGTTAAGTTCATCATCACATTATCTGTCCACTGAAAAAAAAGACACAACTGAACATGGTTTCTCACCATAACACCAACAGATGGCTACAACCTCGAAGAATGCAAGAAACATGATGGACACTAAGGCAGTGTAATGGTCCATCAGCTGGAAAACGTAGATTCCCACCTGACCACAAACACACTCTTTAGAACAGCAGGTAAGTGAGACTAAGGATCTTACAGTTTGATCATAATTTGTTTAATATTCATTCAGTACATTAAATCATGTACCTGCATGACACAAGGAATTCCTAGAAGGAACGCTGTGCCACAAACCGCAAGAACAAACAATTCCTTCCGTCTGAAAAACTTGATCAGCTTTTGATAGAATTCATCCATGAGACTGGTCACCAGCACTTCAACCATTGCAAACTGGCAAAAAAAAAATACACAACAAAAACCATACTGAAGCTCTCTCTAGGATTATTTATTATTTTTCCTGTGGATTATCACAGAAGCTGTAATGCCCCCCCCCCCCCCCCCCCCCTTACCTACCTCACTGTCCAGCCCGAGGCAAAGCAGCATGAAGAAGAACATCACAGCCCAGAGCTGAGCCACTGGCATGTTGGCAAAGGCTTGTGGGTAAACAACAAAAACCAGTCCTGGACCTAGAGAAACAAACAAGATGCCAGCGTTGCATTGCTGAATGAAATGGTAAAACATGATCCTTCTAAAGCAGAAAAGTGTGACATGAAATTATGAAGTGTGATGGAAAGAGCAATAAATGGATAATTTATTGGAAACAAAATTAGTGGAAACATGGGAAAGTTCATAGCTAGACTGCATGCATTTGAAAAAACTATACTGATTGATAGCACAGATACTACAGTTTTTATTAATGTATTTATTACAAATACAATTTATAATGTTTTAAGCTCATGGCCTTTTATTGTATTTAGGTTTGTGATTAACAGTATTTGTCTTTCTTATCCTGTCTACTGTGTGTGTGTGTGTGTGTGTGTGTGTGTGTGTGTGTTTGTCGATCGGCTGCATATAATTGCCCATACAGGGATAAATTAAGTTGCATTGAATTGAACTGAAGACAATATATAATTTGTTTTTTCAGACTAAATAACAAGAGTAAGATGTTTTATTCATTTCAGTTGACTTTTTTAAGTGGAATTCCTCCTTTGTTGTATCATCATAGCTTTCTTCAATTATTATGACTCTTTCTGTGAACTAAAAAATTACCTGTTGCACCTGTAATGACCGGTTTTCTTTTGTTGTTAAATTAAACTCACACGTGTATTATAGGAGAAAAAAGTAAAAACCACTCCCCTTGGAGCTGAAGATAGTAGTTGAGACTTTTTAAATCACTTGTTTTGTTTTCTTACCATCCACAGCCAGATCGCTGACAGGAATACCCTGTAGATAAGACATGTATCCAAAGGCAGAGAAAATAACAAAACCTGCCAGGATACTGGTGAGTGAGTTGATGATGGCTATAGTCAGGGTGTCTCTGTGGGGAAAGATGATATGTTTTATATCACGGTCTTACTGCCCAGAGATCATTAAAGACATTGGTGGTGGGGGGGGGGGGGGGGATTGAGTGGATGAGGAGTTGGACTTATTACTTGAGAACGTTGTTGTTGAAGGCGTTGTAGCTGGACATGGCCAAGAGGGAACCAAAACCAATCCCAATGGAGTTAAAGATCTGAGCTGCAGCATTCACCCACACCTGCAACACAGAAGGATGTTCAGCCAGAGCTTCTGATCACTGCTGATCCCTGCCAATTCCAATTATCAATACCAGTGCTAATATGAATACTAGTATAAATGTTTTCTGTTGCTACTGCAGCACCAGTGCCAACTGCTCTTCTGAATCAAACAGAATCAGTTACTCCTCTCTCTTATTTCTGACCTCTACTGAGAGAAGCTTGTCCCATTCTGGCACAATGAAGAAGGTTATTCCGTCTAATGCTCCAGGAAGCTGCGCATTATTGATCAGCAGGGCAAGCAGGATAATATATGGGAAGAGAGCTGTAAAGTACACCACCTGCAAAGAGAAGCAAACAAGGGTTGTGATGCCATGTCTGCCCCTCTCATTGTCTCTCTCTCTCAGTGGTTCTCTCTCTCACCTTGCCTGTTGATTTCACCCCCTTAAAGATGCAAAGGTAAATGAGGATCCAAGCCAGAATGAGAATAAGGAAAAGCTCCCATCGCAACACTCCTGCTTTCTCTACTCCACTTGTCTGCTCCAGCATCTTATACCTTCAAAGAAGCCAAATAAAAGAAAAAAAGTAAAAATGCAATGAATGCTCTAAGACGATTACATTTTACATTAATCCAGACATTATGCTTCAAAACTAAACGCAATAGCCATAAAAAAACAGATGACTCTGGAATTCTTGAGTCATTGCAATCAGTTGGAGAATGGGCAGAGAAGCATTAACATATGGTGTCCCACAGGATTCAGTTTTGGGCCTTCTAATGTTTGTGATCCATTCTGGTAGCTGCGTCACTTGACCACCATTGACCATTTTTATCTACCAAAAAAAATGTTTCTTGCTTCCTGTTTTATTTTGGAGGCCTCTGTCTCTGGTGTTCTTATGTTGCTTTGTTTCCTATCAGTCCCATTTTAATGTGTTCCACCTATCTTCAATCACCCCCCCCCCCCAGTTTCTCTATATAAGTCTGCTTGTTCCATTTGTTCTTGTCTGTTCATTAGTTGTGCTGTTGCGTGTATTCCTGCCTGTCTTTTTGATTTTTCTGTCTCGTTTTTTGGATCAACCTTTGAATTTTCATGTTCAACATTTAAATGGATTACTATCAAATCCTGTACAGGCATTCGTGGTTCCCAGAGGATGGATCCTAATTTTGGAGGGATTGCTGGACTTTTTCCTTTAGTGGCACCATGAGTTTAATGTTTTGTGCTTTTAGTGAAATGTCTTTACAACTACTGTACAGATGGACTTCCATAGAATTTGTTTTTAATATGCATGGTACCCTGAAAATGATTTTGGCAATCCTCTGACTTTGTCTGGCACCACCAGCAGGATCATATTTTTGTGGATTAAAGTAAAATTCCCATCAGCATCAACTGTACTTCGCATTGCTTACACTGTACATAACAACAACCAATACCATAGATATAATAAATAGTTCACGCCCACACTGTATTTTTTAAATCTCATAGCTCATTTTACATCTCTGCTCACGCAACACTGCTTAGACTGCCATAAAGGTGACTAAACATGCTGACCCCTGTGCTTATCCTGAAACAACAAATAAGCTATGTCACACACACACACGCTTCTTAACATGTGCATGGTCACACCATGACAAACTTTTCTAATAGAGGTTGCCAAAGACCTTCATTCTGACCACACCCTCTGGCCAAATTTAACTACTGAATATCAAAAACAAATTTTGCACATTCATTTTCTGTTCTGTCTGTCTAACAAAGTGGTTTTGTTTAGAAAGAACGTTACAGCCTAACAGAGCCGCTAGCATGGGTGTAGACCCTCAACCGGGGCCACCACAAATAGGTTGGCATAGTGGGTCAGTGGTTAAAGCTATTGCATTACAGCAAAAAAGATATTTGCTTGTTAATATGGGGTTCCTTCTACAGTCTAAAGACCAGAGTGTTTCTAGACTTTAAATCATCAACAATGATTGACTGGCTGACGCATTCCATGTAATGTTAAAACGTGTTTTAACATAATCAGATTCAATTTCTACATGTATCCTCTAACTGCAGTAAAAGAAGTTAATAAGTAAACCAAAAATGTGAGGTTTCACTCCACTGTCCTAACAGCAGGACATACACAATGAAAAATGTAGGTTTCTTCTTTATGAAAAGTTTGTCCACATCAAAACCAAAGAAACACTTCTATAACTGCAGCACACAGAAGAACTTAGTTAGAAACAATTTATACTAGACAAATGAGATGCTTAGAATGATGAAGTGAAAACTGACTTAACATTTCCCACACTTCCCACAGATACCTGATCTGTTTGTCAAGCTCTTATCACTAACCTTCCCTTTGACTGATATCCCGCACATGACTCTGATAAGATGTTGATTCAATTTTATGTTGAAATAATACTAATAATATAATTTTGTTGTGTGAACAGGCTAGCCTTTTGTAATCCTGCTATAATCTAATCATTATCTAGTCTGGTTTTATAATTGTGAGAACAAGCACTGGTTTCTCCCACACAGTGAAACGTACTTGAAGAACTCCTGGCTAGCTGTGGAGGAGTAGCTGCTGTTGGTGGCGTGATTGGTACAGTTTAGGGTGTTCCAGGTGTTGTTGCAGTTCTGCCAGGGAAGCGGGGCGTGGAAGGAGTTGAAGAGATAATACAGGGCCCAGGTGATGACGACATTGTAGTAGGTGCACATGATGAAGGAGATGGCTACTGATGCCATGCCCACTCCTGAGGACGGACACAAATTATGTCAAAATTGTGTTTTTGCAGCCAGACAATTGTCCGTTTTTTACAGTATGGATACATTTCAGTGACAACAGTTCAAAGCCATGGACTACCTTTCAACAGTGGGCATACAGTAGCCAGTGCATGGACTGGCCCCCTCCTCGTGTACTGACCCACAGTCAGTTCCATGTAGAGCAGAGGGATCCCCAACACCACCAGCATAAACAGGTATGGCAATAAAAAGGCACCTGGCAGGAAGTGAATGCAGGTCAACTGTCACACACATTTAGCTGGCAAAGGCAGTTCTGACTGCTAGTTTTAATGGTGTTTTCTAATCTTTAACGTTTGTCAAAGTCAACCTGCTCTTGCATTTTCCTCATGTCTTGGATCATTTGTAATAGTCAAGGGATGTATGGTATAGTAGTTTACATCTTTAAATATTGTAAACCATTGTTCCTTCCGACTGTGCGGATTTTCAGAGTACAGTATGGACAATGTTTTTAACACAATCCGTATCACTACACAACAAAGTGTTTGACCCTCACGAACAGCACAGTTTGTTAATCGTTGGACCCAGTTATGAGACCGATGTATATGTATAGATGGTGGTCTGGTTTCATAATTTAGTTTGAGGATGAAATGGCAGCTTCGTTCTCACCTCCTCCACTCCTGTAGCACAGATAAGGGAACCTCCAAACGTTGCCCAGACCCACAGCACAGCCGATGCCAGCCAGGGTGAACTCTATCTGCCTGCTCCATGTTGGTCTGTTGAGCTGCTGCTCCATGTCTGCTCCCTGTGTCACCACTGGTGCTCGTCTAAGCCCAAACTCCATGGAAAGGTTGGCTTTAAGTGACTGTGGGTGATATAACCTTCCTTTTTATTATCCTTAATGATTAGCTTAGCAGAAACACTCCACCATGCAGCAGCTCAGAGGCTCACAAAGAGGGAATGTTGAATAAGTGTCAAAACTCATCAGAGCTGTGGTTTTGACTAACATACACTGCACAAGTGTTAGCAGAATGTTTTATTAAACAATACTTAAGACAACATTAATTATGTTGACAGCCAAATAAATCATTTTCAAAAAATTCTAAACTTAACAATTATTGATCAGCAAGTGGAAATTCTTACTTTTGCATTGACAATACTTACAACATTTTCTATAAATGTGACAAAAGTGACATTATCCATGTAGTTAAGAAGTTCAAAGACGACATTACTATTTGACAATGACACATTTGACATTTCCTGGATTCCACTTTATACCAAAATCTTTACATCATCAAAAATCCAAAGCTCTCCACAAAGACAAAAGGAGACAACTTGACCTTGTATGACTAGTTTGTTACACGTGCAGTATGCAAAACATGAAATGAGTGTCTTAAAAACTTACATCATCATCAAACCACATTCCTGTAGCCATATACCTGTATCATATAACCTTTATGATAAGCAGAGATTGCCTTTGCAATAAGGCTCATGCCCCAGTTGGATAATTATATCACAAATTAGATGAAGTGCAAACAGGAGAGAGCCCAAACGCAAGACACTGGAAAGTTGACTGAAGGAGCACAGGTTTTAATCCAAAACCACAAAAACTCAGGCTTACATGCACTTCGGGTGTAAAATGTCCAAACAGCGGATCAGGCAGCACAGGCACAGGCACAGGCAGAACACTCACCCCACGACAATGACCGGACAGAGACTGAACAGAAACAGCAAACATTTAACACCAGGGACTAGCATGGACTAACAGAACAGGGCAGGGAACAGAGACAGCACGAACCAGGAAATAAGACTACACTAAACATGGGACAGATCAGAAATATAGAAGATACCAAAATACTGAACACAAGCAAACAGATTATGACCAGATAAACAATAATTTCAGGTAGAGGAAGCACTCGAGTGGCCTTTTATTGTGGTCAGCCTAAGGCACACCTGTGCAATACCCATGCTGTCTGATCAGCATCTTGATATGCCACACCTGTGAGGTGGATGGATTATCTCGCCAATGGAGAAGTGCACACTAACACAGATTTTGACAGATTTGTGAACAATATTTGAGAGAAAAAGGCCTTTTGTGTACATAGAATGATGAATGGGGGCAAAAACTAGTGTTGCGTTTATAATTTTGTTCAGTGTAGCTCTTTGGTTGCTGAACACCATGATGACAAAAGAAAACAGATTTGGAACAAAACACTGAACATAAAGAATCAGCTTGATGTTAGCATCTGTACAATATGAAGCAAAGCTTAAAAAATAAGCGTTTGTTATTTAGCTTATATAGAAGAGGTTGTGTTACATGCTCATTGCAACACCTTTGTGGTTTGTGTCTGTTGGCCACTTACTAAATGGACTGGGTACATCAGACTTCTGCTTGGCACCTGGGAGAGTCGGGTTTGAGTCATAAAGCACTGCTTTAATCCTATACTAGTGCTATACTCCAGTGTAGGGGTAAACTTCTGTTTGCAGAGAAGATGTTGAATCAGTTAGTTTGGATGCTATCCATGGTTACTTTAGTTTTCTTCTGAGCAGGTGTTCTGCTTGTTCTTGAGGACCCTCACCATAGCCTGAAGCTCTTGCCCTTATGAGAGATCCAGGCTCCCCCAGCACACAGCCATTGTCGTCCAGGCCTAGTCCCAGTCTGTTCCTGCCCTAAAGCATGTCTTGTCATTTTGTATTGCAGCAGCAGCACTCACACATCCATCTGTCGGACAGGTGGAAAACAGGACATCATGAGGGCACAGAAATGGCGTAGCTGATAAACCTATACGCACCAACAAAATTCTCTTTACATCCCATCAGCAATCATTAAATCAAATGCTCTGAAAAACAGTCACTGTGGCTGTCACAGTAATAAGCACCTGTCTACCTACCTGTGTGCTCTCTATCCATGCATTCATTGCGCATGAAAATGTGTTTTGGGCTAGTGCCATCCGAGGGAGGTTTGACTCTGCCAAGGTCAGGAGTCTAAATGTGGGCCAGGTTCTGCCACCCCACCGCAGAGGTTATCAGCTTATCACCATGTATACAGAGGCAACTGCTATGGTGCAATAAGTGGCATTCTCAGTGGAATTCGCTGGAAAGTGGTCATTCAGATCTGATTACAGTGTCCATGAATGCCTACCTGTGCAGGAGGGCAGGATGTGCCACGCCTTTTCTGCAGTACTTTAGCCCATCAAATCTTACTTTGGTACTTACTTAGGTTACAGATCGCACATGTATCTAAGACTCTTCAACTCAGCAATGACATAATGTGATGTTGTCTCTGTAACATCAGCCAACATTTTCGCAGCACTATTTTATTCCTGGACTTAGCAATTACACATACACAATTTATTATGATATATTATATCTTATGCACTCTGTATTATTACTTGCACTGTAAATCGATAGCTTTATTTTGATAGCCTAAATAAACGCTAAACTACACTCCTGTCGTGTGTAATTATTTTTACTTCTACACTGTGCAACTACCTCCTGCTGCAACCTGTGCAATGTTCAATCAATCACATCTGTACATAAAAGGTGTACATTATATGCACATAACTCTTATTCTTATCTGTTTGTTTTTTTTATTGTTTGATTTTTTTACTCTATTTTTATTTAATGTGCACTTTATTATCTGATGAATTCTCCCAGTGTGGGATCAATAAATTCTATCTTAAGTTATCTGACAAGGAGAAAATATGTATAAATTGCTTTGAATATTCTTGATTTTACTCAGCCCTGGGAATGAGTCTTCTTACTTTGAGATATACAGCTCCTGTTATCAATGAAACTGTCACTGTAATGTACACTGTATACCCTATTGTTTATACTTGATTGTATTATGTGATCGACACACACTTTACTGTTTTTATTGGCCACTTTGGCCACCTTGAGTTTGTAAAGTTTTCAATTTCACTTCTCTCTTGTTGACCTTCTTGAAAATGAGATGGTCCATCTCAAGGGTTTATCCTAATACATACATATGAACACCAACCAAAGAATTAAAATCTTTTGACTGGATTGTACTTGCTCTGGGGTCTATACCAGAAAGCAGGTTTAACAAACTCTGATTTTTACAATTTAAACTGAGATTACATATTATGTGCAATTAACATTTTATTGGAACTGTTCTAACAAACTAGCAGCTGTCTTATGTCACAGAGCCACAGTGTTATATTTGAGTGAGGGCAAAACAGCTCATAAAATTGGTAACTTTAGATAGTCCTGAGTAACAAACTAATGTCCAACCAAGATTTAGATTCTGACAAGGGCCTACAGTAAACCGCTAATGCGCTGAATCAGTGAGGAAACGAAACAGTCTGGCTCTGTGAGAAGCAGGAGACACACTGAGCAGAGAAACTCAGAGTTTGTTGAACAAAACGTGCCAGTGAGAAGGGTATGTTCCCAGGATGAACCAGAGTTCACAGAAAATTATTAGTAAATTTGGGACTGAAAACCATTTCAGGGATAGTGTGGATTACACCCCTTGTGAAAATACAATGAAGCTGCTTGCTTTCATAGAAAATTTAGAAATAGGAGAAGTTTCATATTTCAAAAACACTGTATGAGTTGTGTTTGCACACACTGTAGCAAAATTCTACACTAGCACACTTCCATCTGCATTAGGTGTGTCCTTGCAAACCCTGATAGATTTCACAAAACTGTACTCTCTAACAGCACTATTTGACCATGATACTGATGGACATAGTATTGGACTAGTACTATTTGATCAGGTCTCTAAACGCAATGCCGAGTACCACAAACCACGTCTCTCTCAGGAAAACTGCAGTTATTCTTGTTTAGGTTGGTGCGTGAGAGGACGTTTAAACAACCACTCCTATTTCATCATAATGATGTGGAGAAGGGGCTGAAATCGAGGGGAGGGGTGTCCGGTAAGCTGAGTCAAGTGGTAGCAAAACAATGACAGAAGTATGACAATGTAACCTTAGAAATAAAATCAAAACGATTACTTCAATACGTATTCGTCAACATTACTTTTATTTTGACAGTCATATGCGGAAGCGTTTCATGTATTTATAGTCTACGTGACGCTCCCATTGCTCGACTCCCCCAGTTCAGAACGCATCGATAATTGAGAGTTGGCGAGAAAAACGGTGTTTATGAGCCAAGTTAGTGTTGTATGCGTCGATTAAATTTGGATACGCGGTTTTTTCTGTCGGTAAAATGGGAAACTGCCACACCGTTGGACCAAACGAGGCCCTGGTGGTTTCAGGTAACGTTAAAGCTTTTTAGATGTGTTTTAGCTCCTTGGGCTCCTTCCTGGCTCGCCAGGCTCCATGAAGGGCTAACGTTATTACAGAGACTGACTTGGAAAATAATTTAACTCTAGTAAGAATAGCTCTCCTAACCTGTATTAGAAGTGTAACTCAAACGTTACGCCAGAAGCTAACGTTACGAGTCGCGTACACGGTCATTAAACCACCAAACCATTCGATGTAACCTTAGCGTCACTTCAGCTAGCGGTTGACCGGTCCACCCCAACCCCCAAAGAAATGTTGATGTCGTTTTATGGCTCTAAATGGCAACTCAGAGACGAGCCACAAAATCCACCATATCGTACCTTCGTTTTATGTGACGTTCTTCCCCAGTAATATTTCTGTAAGGCTTATATAATAAACTCATTAGATTGGCTTTGGTTTTGTATCTGTTCCTGTATTTTTTTGTGTGTGTGTGTGGTAAGTGTAATGTTTGCTTGTGAAACTGCTCTCACTAAGGCATTTTATTGACATAAACCAGCAATCATAGTGCTCATAGTAGAAACTGAGATGTAGGGAAGCTGCGCTGATGTTTATTGTAGGTCTCTCTTTCTTGAGCAGTGGTGGTAGAATATGATGGCTCTCTGCTGCAGAAAGGACTAGAGCTAGATTAATTAAATTCCAGGGGAAACGCTGATAAACTCTCCTTTTTCCACACGCCACCAGCTGATGTTTTGAATACCTCTGACATAGGACACCCAAGACTTGTTTCGTTAATCCCAGGGGCCTACCATATATAAACTCGGAGGCCAGGGCCCCCTTTTGTGTCAAGGTTTTAGTCCCACATTGACATAGGCATTTCTTTAATTCAGAAATCTCTGTAATGTCTGTGTAGTGTGTTGCTAATTTGTATGTTGTCAAGTAATAATTAAATCAATATTATTATGCAAGTCTCTGCATTCACCATTGATCTGATGGATCCCTGGTGGACGTCAGACTCCACTAATGGGAATTACTGACCTTTGTTTTGAAGATCTTCCCTCAGTTTATAAATGTGGTTTGGTAGTGTATTGCAAAAAAAAGATTTCCAGCACGCTTCTGTATCTGAATCTGTTGAAAATTTCCCTATCTTGATTAAGCTTTTTAAGAGTTTGTCAGTTACCACATAGAGGAACAGTGAGTGGGCGTGAGCTGCACATGCCGATTCCACAACAGATTAATTTCCCAAATGTGAAAAGAAATGACACACTGTATTTTTAGGAGTTTGGGTGCCAAAACAGAATTTAGATTTAGACTTTATTGGCCCAAAAGGAGATTTGTTTTCACAGCCAGTTTAATATTGAAACATACAGATACTGACCCCCATAAAGTCCCTATAAAATTTCCTTTTTTTTTCCTAATGTGAAATACTGCCGCTTCATCTTGCATGTTGCAAGTAAAGGCTTTCCCTACTTTTTAAGGACAAAATCCTGCATCAAGAAAAATGTCTCATTCATTCACACTGAGCTCCTCCCCCCTCCACTGTGGCTGAATGCAGTTGGGAATCTAAGTTATGCTGGTGGAGCTCCTATAGCTAAAATGGTGTGGTGCTCCGAGTATTTCTATAGGTCCTCAGCCTGTTTGGCAGTAGGCAAGTAGGTATTTAAGATTTAAAAGCCTGTCCCATCCACATTCCTTGATTTAAAAACAGAATTTCAAATCTGTATGAATTAGATTATGTCATAACAGAGCATGTCCAAAACAACACACTTATGGTATACATTCTGTGTAATCCTTGATTGCATGTTCGTTAGTTCAGTCACACTGGGAATTTGTATAATGTGAAGAATGGGAAATAAAAAGAGTGAGATGTCTCTTTTATAGACTTGAAATGACACCTTTTTAATAGTAACCCTGTTGATGGAAATGTTAACAAACATCAGCAGTGTGTGAGTTGTGGGTCTATATGTTTTTATTTATTGGGGAGTCAGTAAAGAGAGTCCTGCCCCTCCCCTACTCGTCTGTCGGTCAGTAACCGTCTGGCAGCTGGGAATGTTGCACTAAATACTCGAGATTCAACTCTCACACCGGGGCCAGTGAGTGGGACCAATATGTGCCGCTTAGGAGGGCTTCAGACTGCCACCATTTAGTAGCATTTTGTGACCATTTTTGGAGACAATGCTACAAAATGTTATATCTTGGAGCACCAGTGCGACTTGCAAATATGCCTCTATGTGTGTGACTGTGTGCACGTCTATTCAAGTTGCTCTTGTCAAAGCAGGTGTCAATGTTTAGTCATCAAATCAATTTGTGGGAATGGCTTTTGGAGGCAGGCCTGAAGGGAGGGGGTTGGGATTTTCTCTCTTGCTAGTTTTAAAGGAGGGAGGATTGTAGTGTGAGCACTGGGCTGTCAGGTGTGATTCTGTGTACTACTGACAAATGGTTTACATGGTTCACAGGTTAGGTTGGAGGGCCCCACAGCAGAATTTATCTTAGAAGCTCAGGAAGTTGCATGTCGATTAAGTGGTGCTCCTAAATTTTGTCCTGGTGCACCTATTGTCAGCTGGGATCACCAGTGCTACTAGTGGAAACAGTTAGTTTGGAAACCCACTTGACCGTAATTATCTCACATTCACACTCACATGGGCATCGTCAGGTCAGTTTATTATGATGTATGCGTTGGATAAATGGTTCCCACTAAAATCACATAAATCACATGCTGCACCATGTTCGCATGGTATTCAACGAGGCTGAAGTTCAGAGTGGGTCAGTAAGAATGAAGCATTTACTTTGAGAACACACGGGTGAGGTGTGTGTTGCTGTTGCGACAGAGTAGATCACAGTTAACTACCTGTGTGAGTGGGAGATGTCTGCGATATGCCAAAAGTGAAAGAAGAGATGAAGCGTCCTATTGCAACACTAGAGGAACAAACATTGTGGGGACTGTGGTTGGGTTTAGTGGTGCCTGTTTTTATGATTTGCTGAACAGCACATGATCCTCTTCCTCAGAAAGCACTTGCAGAATATGAAAACTGGGTCACTGTCTGATCTGGTCTCTTATCTTTCTCCTCCTTTGGAAACCTGGCGAACTTAAATCCAAAGAAAACATCTGGCTCCTTAGCCCGCTAAATGCTCCACTATGTTCACCAGCTAGTCCCTTAACTGTCTGTCTGCTGTTTGGTGTTGGGCAGGTAGTGAACAGTGGGTTTAGAGCTGCTTTGCCAAAAATAGCTGCCTTGTGCAGCTGAAAACAACACTGAGAGTGAACCAAAACAGTAAAACTTGCGAGCCGGACAGCTAAACAATGAGCTGAAATTCACTATAAAGCAGATTGGAGCTGCAGATTCAGGTGATAATTCTTTGTATGTTCATTGCTTACAAGCAACCCCTTTCACATTGTGATTTATGTTGATGTAAAATATCAGTTATAGCCACTTTAAAGGTCTAATAATAATCCATCTAATTGCTGCTGTAATGGGCTAGCCTGTTTCATCTAAGCTGGCCCCATATTGTTTTGCCTGACTGTTATTAACTGATTCTACTACAGTTTTGTTCTGTGTTTATTATAACCATGTGACGTTCATTTTATCTTTGTTATTCCAAAGGTGGCTGCTGTGGCTCCGATCAGAAGACCTATGTTGTGGGAGGCTGGTCCTGGGCCTGGTGGCTCATCTCTGACATCCAGAGGTAAGGCCTGTCTGCTCTGGCTCCAAACCAAACAAGTGTTAAATGGCACCGTGCCCACCGCCTCGGTCAGGAAGCTTTTAAAAACAGGTTGTCTGCACACAACAGGTTCTCAGGCCTGAAAACAAAATAGATATTAGAATTCCTACTTTCCACCATTCAAGAACAGATTCTTATACCCTTAACACAATAAAGATTTTAACAGGCTACATAATACGAAAGATAAATTTATGCCTGTAGCACAATTTGGTATCTTTACAGCAATATAAAAATTTTTTTACATATGCATTACAAACCACAATAAGACTCCATGTCTCTTACTAATGAATATTTGTCTCCTTTGTGCTCTGCTATTGCGGGTGTAAGGGTATCTGTCCATCCATTTCGTCCAGGGGGGGAATCTTTACAACTAGCGGTCAAATTGCCCAAGAAGATGTTTCCTAATCTTTTGTTGACCTCCTGACTTCTCTTGTAATGCAATCATTAGACCAGAATTGTCAATGTGTGCAACAAGGTATATCAAAATCTACTGAGCAGTTGGTCAATAAATTTTTTTTTTTAGCATATTCAGACTCCTCTGCAACACCCCATGAGCTTTTCTCAAGAACCAGCGTCAAGCCATGTGTCACACACAGCCTCTGTTTTTCTCACTGTCAAAAAATCCAATGACAAGAACAAGCCAGCAATCAATTAATCCTAAGTGTTGTCTGTGTAGCCAAAGCAAAAAAGTTTCAAGAAACTGAAAAGACTCGCTTATGTTAGTCATTTGATGATGATAATAATAATAAACAAACAAATTATATTTGGGTTTTGTTCCTCTGTCAGAGCTTAAAACCAGTAAAGAAAATTGTTAGCCTGATCTTGATCAAGTCTAATACTAATCAAGAGACGAAACCTGCAGCTGACATTTGGCCTTTAACCTACTATAAAGCTTAAAGATGCCTACTCTTAAATGTGGGAAGTCTGCGGCACTGGGTTCAAAGTCACTGATTTTAACGTCAGTAAAGCAGCTTTTGTTTGCAATGAAATAGTCTACAGATTCTGTCATGTTACATGTGACACTGTTTCATGTCTGACTGATAACAAATTTACAACAGCCCAAAATTGAAGTGCATGTATTCTTCACTTTGTGTAAGGTGTTTTTCCAAAACCCCTAGCTGTTATAAAACCTGCCTCTTTGTTTCTACTCTGCCAACCTGCTTTGCTTTGTCTGGTGTCGATCTTACCCTGTCTCAGCCCCAGTGTGTCTCCTGCAGGTTAGCCATTTCCCTATTAAGTGCTGCTCGTTGTCTTTAGCTGCTAGGCAACATAAAGGCAGACCCCAACAATAAAATAAAGTGGGGGCGAGGCTGGCTTTATAAATGCCCATTCAGAGACTGGCTATCCCAGGGATCCTTTCTCATCTACTTATATTCTGTCCACATCTCGAATCCTTTCTTGGATGAGAGAGATGAGAGAGATGTTCTTCCTCCTCTCCAGAGTAGTGACCGCTCAGGCTAAAAGCCCTATGTCCATAAGCTAGTAGCCGGACAGGGAGTGGCTTCCCGCTCGTGATGCAGTAATCATGTTAATGTCCAGGCCTGTGACTCATTGATTCAATACTTCTGGAAAGAAATGGGAGGTGGAGCTCTTAACCAGAGTCTCCTCTTCCAAGTGTTGCTGCAGTCAGCCTCCCATGTCTTTGACTCCAGTGAAGCCCTGCAACATAACGACATGTAAACAGTCCAGCTGGACTAGTACTGAAGTGGAGGATTGTTTTTAGAGGAAATTCCAGTGTTATCTTGGAGAGGCGCTGGGATCAAGAATCCTGTCAGCACGGGCTTGAGTTTACGGTTCTTGTTTTTTATCCCAGGTTATTTAAACATTTATTAACAGACAGAGACAAGAGAAGCTGTTTTAGCTGTGTCACCAGCACCACATCATAAATGAAACGGCCTCAAACCAGCAAACCAGCAGGTTAGGTTGTCTTTCACCCTCTCCCTCCTCCCCCTTTCTCTTGACCTTGGTTACTGACATTCCTAACAGCTGTTGTCCAACTTACTTGTTCTGCCTCTGCTATTCCCGCCTGCCTGCCTGCGTAGAATGTCTCTGGAGGTTATGACCATCCTCTGTCGCTGTGAGAATATCGAAACTTCGGAGGGTGTTCCCCTGGATGTGACAGGGGTGGCTCAGGTAATGCATTTCAAAAGACTGAACAAAAGCAGTGGCTGGTGCGCGAGACAAAAGGAAGACCCAGGAAAATGGTCCAACTAACAAGCTAACGTTGTCTGTGTGTTTGTGTTTTTCTCATCTTCTTCATGGCTTTTTTTTTTTTCCGTCAGCAGTGGAAGGGAGACGATCAGCTGTCACTAGCTTCGCCACAAAGCTGAACTCTGAGTCACCTTTCACAACGGGGTCAATAAATGGAGGCTACAGAACTGGCAAAATACAAAAAAAAAAAAAAAGCTGCATTTGAAAACAATCAGGCAAAAACTTAAATCCTACAAGGCTTAAATTCTGGATAGCGTCTCATTTTGCTCCGTTGTTAGTGATCTGGAGTCCTTGGGTGAATGGTTTCACTTTGTCCTGTTGTTTACTCGTGTTACTGGCCCTTCCCTTCATTTGCTTTCCCTCCGAACATGTCAATTTTTTTTCTATATTTGTCCACATTCTTCACAGGATAACGCTTGAGATTATGACCCTGCAGCCCAAGTGTGAGGATGTAGAGACAGCGGAGGGTGTAGCTATTACTGTCACTGGGGTGGCTCAGGTAAATCACCACACTTTTCTGGGAATGCCAGTTCAGACTCCACTACCCCCCCCCCCCCCCCCTCCACACACATACCGCACCCCCTCCCTTCTTTTCTCTGGCATCAACCCATAATCACAGCAGAGGTGGTGTTTCATACAGAGGGCTCAGGTTCAGATGCACACCTGTATTTTTGATTAAAGGGTTAGTTGGGGTTTGTGGGGCTAATCACCTAGAGTAGATGGCGGTTGGCACGCTCCCAGTTTGGAGAAGCAGACTGGAGTACTGGCACATAAGATAAGCAATGTACTGCAGTTCAGTTTATATTTAGAATATTTTCACTGCTTTACCTTGCCTTCAGGCAGCCCTTTCCAATGGGAAACTATATCCATCTGTGCGCTCTTCAAAGCCACCAGACAAAAATACTAAATTTAGGTTGCAAAACACGAGACCGCTGTTGTACCGCTGTCTTGATTGACTTTTTTTGTGTTATTGTGTGACCAAATTAACACATTAAAACTCCAAAGCTACACCATACACAATCGGAAAGCATTGTTTGATGGCAATGTAAAGCGGTGGTGACCACCATCTACTGCAGGTAATACACTGATTATGGATAAGTACCTCGTACACCCCCACTGAGAAATTGTAATGAACCCTTTTGAGGCACTAGGATAGATGTACATACAGATCGGTCACATAGTTACCTTCATATCTGGGCAGAATACACATAGTTAAACTTATCTGACCAAATCAGTCTGATAGTAGCACTGTGTCAAAAACACATCATTCACACATTATTCATTTCAATCACAGTATTGGCTCAATTCAGTTGGAAGTCAAACTGGGTTTCCTGATTCACATTTCACTGTCTCACTGGTACCTGTAGAACACAAACACACACCAGCGTAGCCCCTTGCATTCTGTTGGCACAGTGTTATTTTCGGTTTGAACTTGGTCTTAGTGTGACAGGAGAAGGGGTCTGTGTAGAGCCTGATGTGCATTTTGGTGTCAATCTCAGTGTTTTGTTTGTTTTATTGTGTGTTTTTTTTTTTTGGTTGTTTGATTCTGTTCAGTGCCAAAATAAGTGAGGATTGTTTTTAGTTTGACAACTTTTAATATATTAAAGAAAAAATCCACCATAAAATTCACTATATATATACTGCACAATCCATTTGGGTAACTATGCATAAACAATAAAAGCTGGAACTATGTGGTGGGATGACTACGGAGATACCACATGATCATGGAGGCTGCAAGAACTGTGATTGGTCAACTTGGGCTTCTTGTGTTTTCTCTGGCAAGTTTCTTATGCTGGTGAAGATTGTTGGTAGTGAACACAACATTACATTGAGGAATGAAAGGCTCAGTAATCTGACACAGACTGAGCAAAGCTATCACCACTGCGAACCTCTACTCTCTGCGAATGTCGCTCTCTCACAGTGAAGTAAAGAAGGTAGACACGTGATAGCATGGGTGTAGTCTCCTAATTCAGTAATAAGACAAAGCAAAACTTTCCAGTGCCACTCTCTATAACAAAGTGAATGACAGAGGGTAAAAAATACTTTAGGGAATATAATTAAAGCATGACACGTCCATCTAGTGTTGCTGTGGTTCTATCAATGCAAAAAGAATCTACGACACCTGTTATCATTATTATAGTGACCAATATTGTCACACTTATCAGTATTATCGCAGTATTGTTAAAATTAGTGATCAGAAGTCACTCTTTTGAAAGACTCGAGTCACCAAATCTCATTCATTAAAATGAACTAATCTCTTTTTGTGTCATTTCATCCATTTTAACTAGGCTGGTTATTACGGCGCTGCAGCGCTCTAGTGGGGTGATTTTAAAAAAACAGCGCAGTTCTCAAACACAGAAGGCTGCCTGGCTTGCTCTAATTGAGTATAAAGCACAAATTCACCTCTTGATCTTTCTCTATCATGGTTCTATAAAAACCCATGGAGCCACAAACAAATTCAAGCCATGTGAAAACCACAGAAATACGTTGTCAATATTTGATTAAGCCACTACTCCGGCTAAATCCGTCCATTTTCGAGAGAGAGAGAGAGAGAGAATATGAACTAATCAGTTCTGCTTCCTGCGCTGCCTGCTTACCACAGCCGTGTAGCCAGCTGTCACGTGACAAATGAACGACAATTCTGTTTCCTGTGGTGACGGAGACCTTGCAGCTGCTGTGTAACAAATGAACGAGTCCAAGACTATTCACGCATGCGTGAAAATGAACGCATTACTCGCTCACATCCAAGATTAGGTCAAATGAACAAAACGTTCTTTTAACGACACAACACTAGTGAAAATGTGCTGAAAATACACTGAAACCATTTCACAAAGTTTTATATTGAAAACAAATAAAATTAGCAGCACTTTTAGTTTGCATAAACAATAAAATAAAATCTTTTGTAAACCATATCAAATGTGCATTATCATTACATGTTCTAAAGTACAATTTACATGAATACAAATGAGTCTTAAGAAGACAGTGATAGTAATTGCGATGAGCCCAATGATTGACATAAATACAGATGTTGTGTAGGAGTCTGTAGCATTTCTCCTGTTGAAACACTTTTATAACCACTACGACAACTGCCGGTTTTCAAATTAACAAAATATGTTAGTTTGGTGACTAAACTAAGTAACGTGTTGTCATGTCCAGTGGGTGACTAGAGTCTGCTGACACACCGCGCATACAGCAGCAGAACAACGTGTAGTGTTTTTACCAGAGTAGCTTCTGAAGTCCCCCGCATCATGCATTGAGCTAAAAGGTAACTTATCTTACATTCGTACGAATAAGTAGTGGGTTGTGGTACGAAGTGTCGCCCCGTTTTGCAGCGATTCAAGGCTCCCTCACCAAAATACGACCACACTTCACATGTGAGTGCTGTCACTGCCTTCCTCTGTGTTGCCATTGACCCAAAACAAGCCCATGTTGCATGCTGCGCCTGCTTCTGTTGCTACCTTTGATTGATGCCGTTATGTGTTTTCCAAAGCACGGTAATCAAACGTGGTTTTAATGATGATTAACATTTGTAATGGTAATACTAACCTTCGGGAATTTTACCATGGTTTATCATTAAACCGGTAACTGTTTCATCCCTATCAATTATAAATCCAGCTTACAGTCATGGATATCTTGAGGAAACTTGTTCTTTTTTTAATGGTGGATTTTTTCTTTAAGAACCTGTAACATAATATACCACTATTTCCTGCATTTCCATTTGCAAATGATATTCTGCTCTAATTCATTTCCCTTTTTTTGGGCGCATGCCAGCATTTCTATTCATGTTTGAAAGAAGATGCCTCATCATCACTTCTGTTTCTGGCAGTTTTGGCCACAGTCATGCCAATATTCCTGTCTCCTCTGTGTTTTCTTACATGCATGCTGACAATGAGCCCACTGTTCTGAACAGCCCCTCACGCTCACACAGTTCACTTCAAAGCAGCTACTCATGCCACTGTTGGATTGGTCCAACCTAAGCCAAAGCCATTATGGAGCGTGTGTCCCATAGTAGCAGGAGATGTGTGTCCTACTTAAATTAAAGAGACACACATTTAGACTAGGAGGGATATACACAGCAATTAATTTAGAGGAAACCAGAGAAGTATGTTAATCTAAGATACTGTTAACTTCACTACGTCAATTGGATATTTCTATCACATTTTGCTATGCGACTTTCAGTAGGAGTATTTTTGTCTACTTTGACAGCCTACTGGTCAGTTGGCAGTAAAACCAACTGAAGGACCCAACAAATCTGATCATCTTAAAAAAAGTTTTCTGGCTGTTGAGGAAATGGTTCTCAGGAAAAGGTTGGATGTCATTCTTTTTTTTGGTCACATTTCCAGAACTTCCTGTATTTTGAGAGAGCTGTGGGTTTGGAGGAGGCAGGAGGAAGGGTGGTGTCACGAGGGAGGGTGACGGAGGTAGTTCGGGGTCAGGAGTTAAGGGCAAGAGATTGCCTTTGCACACAAGTCTGTATTCCAGTCTCTGCCTCGGACGGGCTCCCCCTGCTGTCTGTTTGAACTGGCCCGTGTGTGGTTGTATGGCTGGTTTGCAGTCTTTCCTAATTTCAGATGTTTCCTTGGAATGCAGTCCATCCTGACTTTGTGTTGCCCTCATTCGTAGTATGAGTGCATGTTGCAAAACAAAACTCTGTGCACACCTCTCGCCTAAGGACCCAGCTCACTCTCTTTTTCTTACAGCTCCAGTGGAGTACATCATCAGCCCAAACCTTTTGTCTTTTTTTGTCTTGACTGCATAAGTGACCTCCCTTGCTGTCACTGATTTAATTTTATTGTGAATTATCCCACTAAGGTTTCTTTTTCCTCCATTAAATTCCTTCAATTTTAAATTATCCTGTTCATTGTTTTTGAACAGGAACATACATTAGATTGCTGAAACTGTGATTAGCACTCTTGTGCATCAGAGTAGTGTTTTCATTACAAGTACATGCTTTGCATGTCATCATATACTCAAAGGAATGGGTTTGAGGTCAAATTTATGTCTGCATCTTCTGATATTGATCACAAATACAAAGCATCTAAAAGCTGATGGCTGTCCATTTGGTTGGTTTAGCGTGGAGGCCATAGATCCAAGGATGCAGCTGTCTGCATTATAAAGTCCAGGCACACAAACACTCAGTCACTATCTTATGATAATTTACATGCGAAAAGAACAAAAAATCCCTTTCCAAAGATCATCCTAAAATGATGTTCTATACACGTATAACTAATATGGTGGATTGAAAATGTAAAAAATGAAGAATCATTGCATTATTTTGCACACTTGGATTAGTAAAACGTAAACTCAGCAGGAACTTGCTAACTGATCATTAATTATCTGGCCATATAGAATTCACTCAATGTCACTATTGGCCAATATTTTCTAAACCCTTGTTTAATCAGATATGGTGACTGTAAACAAGGTTATAAATACAGTGCACAGCCCTGAGTTTATGCAGCCGCCCATCCCCAGCACCTGCCCAGGCTGTTAGCAACATGTTTACGGTCCTTTTTCCTGTTTGAATATGAATTGAAGAAGCTCATCACAGTTGAAGTTGTTTTTGCCAAATCAATAGCAGTGATGCATAACCATAAGTCTGATGCACTAGTACTGAAAAAACCCAGCCTTTATGCATCCATAACATTAACCTTTCAGACTTTGTAAGTTGTTTCTGAAATTCTGTTCCCATTTAAATGTTATAATTTCTTTATTACTTAGCAGCAGTTTCCTATACAATACTGATGGTGTAAAAGTTAAAAGAAAAGAATGATGTGTAGTAAATGATGAGATAGAAAGTGATTGATGATACCACAGAAGCTAGTATCTGTCATGTTTTCATGTGTGCCACACCCATTTGTGCCTGTGTTTGTGAATGTGTGTTCAGCTGACCATCTTTGTCCACATTGGCACCAGGTGAAGGTGATGACAGAAAATGAACTGCTGGGTTACGCCTGCGAACAGTTCCTGGGGAAGTCAGTCGTGGAGATCAAGAGTGTCATCCTACAGACCCTCGAAGGTCACCTGCGCGCCATCCTTGGTGGGTAGCCCCTCAAAACCGCATTGTCACTGCTTGATTGTTGGTTTTTATTTTGTTTCTCTCCCTCAACAAATATGGACAGTACATGTAGTTTTTTAAATATTTGCTTATATTCTAGGAAATGGAGAAGAAGAGGGATTAAGGGAAACACAGACAAGATAGCTTATTATTTTGGCAACATCTTTGAGTCATAACATGTAGCAAGATCTGAGCATGTGTTGCTACCACAGGATTGTTAATAGCTGGGTTTTTTTTAAATGTAGATACATTTCGTGGCCATCTTATTACTTTTTAAATTGACTGTTTTGTCCAGTATGAAGGAAAACCGTCACCATGTCACTGGGGCTGTGTGAAGCAGTTTTACCAGAAAGGTGGTTGTGGAGTAAAATTAATAACGTACGATACGTAATGTATAATTTGCTCAACAGGTGTGTAATATTATAGAGCAGATATCTGCATGCACAACAACAAAATAATGGGGTTCACTCATATGGCAAAAAAAGAAATCCATTTGAGCACAAGGGAGACAGAATGACCCTGAACACATACATTATATTGAACAAAATGGCAGGTGCTGCTTCTGTTTATTCAAATAAACTCCTGTCGCAAACAGATAATGTATAACTTACGTCAGAGGTGGAGGTGTCTAAAACATCACATGTAAAAGCTTTGCTTATGAGTTGGCGGAGGATGTATATATCTGAAAAAGTTACAGATAATTTGGCCATTATGCTCTCTTCACATGTTGCCCATCTTTGTCAGTGTGCCGATTTGTAGTTAAAATAATGACTGTAGATGTAACATTTTGGATGGGAAGGCACTAACCACCTGATTCCATCCTCTCAGGCACCCTAACTGTTGAGCAGATTTACCAAGACCGAGACAAATTTGCCACTCTGGTGCGAGAGGTGGCAGCACCTGATGTCGGCCGCATGGGCATCGAGATCCTCAGCTTCACCATCAAGGTGTGAGACCTCAAGTTCACTTCATTTCGCATTTATCTTTTGAACATCTGTTTCTAATTAGAATTAGGATAACATAATTATTTACCATACATGCATATGCATCTGTCCTCCTGACAGGATGTATATGATAAAGTGGAGTACCTGAGCTCACTGGGCAAAACTCAGACAGCTGCAGTACAGAGGGATGCAGACATCGGAGTGGCAGAGGCAGAGAGAGACGCTGGCATCAGGGTAAGAAGAGCTTTAAGAGGAAATTAAAAACATCGATTCTTGGATAGCTGTCACATAAGGAAACCAACAGACTGCTCCTAATCCATTCCTGTCACTATCTTGTGCACACTGCTTTTTTTTTCAGGAAGCTGAGTGTAAGAAAGAAATGATGGATGTGAAGTTCCTAGCTGACACAAAAATGGCCGACTCCAAACGAGAGCTGGAGATGCAGAAGGCTTCCTTTAATCAAGAAGTGAACACTAAGGTATCTAGTCAAGCTCAGAGTGAATATGTAGTAAACAATCAAACAAACAAGTATTTATAAAAACTCTCACGTCTCTAGAAAGCAGAGGCTCAGCTGGCGTATGAGCTGCAGGCGGCCAAAGAGCAGCAGAAGATCCGTCTGGAGGAGATTGAAGTGGAGGTGGTGCAGAGGAAGAAGCAGATCACTATTGAGGAGAAGGAGATCGACCGCACTGACAAGGAGCTCATCGCTACGGTGAAGAGACCTGCCGAGGCTGAAGCCTACAAGATGCAGCAGCTGGCTGAGGGACAGAAGTGAGTGGGTCCCATACAGACCGCCATACAGTGCATTAATTCAGTCAATTAATGTCTCCATACTTGCTAACGATGGGGGCTAATTTCACTTATTTCCTTTTGAAAAAGTTTTAACAATTTTCGTGATTCAAGTCTCACTGTCCTTATTTTAAGTTGTTGACATTCCTGAAACGGCAGAAACTATGCAGCAACAACCAATACTAGATATAATGTTACATCTCTTGTGACATAATTCAAGGTGTTTACTCATCTAGTGACACTGTTTGGATTAACGACCCACAGTCGAACAAATGAGTCCTATAAAACTACATGTAGACCAAAGGGGCCCCACTACCAACTTTTTAAACACACAATTCAGACATGCTCTCTACATTCTTTCTAACACTAGACATAGTTAAGTTAATAATGTTTCTGATGCTGTTAAAGTTGGTTTCATCAGCAAAATAAAAACAGCAGTAAAACTGGGCTATACTGTATTTTCAATTTACAATCTGTTGGAAAAATGCTCATTGTTACCATATACCTTTATTTTCACTTATACATTCATAACAAACCTGTGATTTTTATGCTATATTATAGACTTTGAAGTTGTCCAACTCACACACTGCAGGACAGTACGTGACTGACTGCTAATTACACAATCCTTTTTGATGCTTCTCTAACCCTACCCCAGGACAAAGAAGGTGCTGACGGCGCAGGCAGAGGCAGATAAGATCCGCCTTATCGGTGAGGCAGAGGCCTCCTCCATTGAAGCGGTGGGAAAGGCAGAGGCTGAGAAGATGAGGCTGAAAGCTGAAGCCTACCAGCAGTATGGCGAGGCTGCCAAGACAGCTTTGGTCCTGGAGGCTCTACCCAAGGTCTGTGGTCAACATATGTACACCACTGGTTTTAACCAAAGATCACCAGCATTTCAGCAGTTTTTTATCGGTCTGATTATCCAGTGTCTTCACCACTAGAGGGGTAGCACCAGTCACCACTGTGTCCTCTTTACTGCCAACAATTATAAACACATACTGTAAAAACTAATCCTGGACATTTGGCAGTGTTAAAATATGACATGACAGTGCATTTTCTTATGTTTCCTCAACACACCTGGCAGGTGTCTCACATTTAATGCTGTTCACTCTATTCTTAACATGGTGTTTGTTGAAGTATTAGCATACACACTGGTCTGAGCTATCTATCAGAGACACATGACTTTGGTACCAATAGTTTAGTTGCATATTGGTAAGGAGAAAAAAGGGACAAAACGGGAGCTCAGTACCTCAAGTATTGAGGCTGAGACCTTACCGCAGACCTTTGCTGCATGTCGTGCATGCCCCCCCCCCCCTCTCTACTGTCTCTATGAAATACAGCAAGAAATGACAAAAAGATGCTCTGTTTTTCATCAGATTGCCAGTAAAGTGGCTGCGCCCCTGTCCAAGACCAATGAGATTATCATCCTGAGTGGAGAAGGCAGCCGCGTGACTGGAGAAGTGAACCGTCTATTGGCTGAACTCCCTGTGTCTGTCAACGCCCTCACTGGGGTGGATCTGACTAAGGTGAGAGTTTATCAGACGCATCTTGTGAATCTTACATCCTTATTTCTGCTGTTATCTTGAGGGTCAGCTGTATGCTTGTCTTATGATAAAAAAAAAAATATATATATATATATATATATATATATATATAGTATTTGAACTGCTTGAATAAAAATAAATAATATAAATATATAATACTGTTCGTTAATTCATGATTCACATATTTGCTAGAAATTGGACGTTTTCAGTGTAACTAAAACATTACAACAGCTGACCCGAGGGCACTTAACAGAGCACAAATACCTGCCAACACTCAGCTATTCTCCATGTTTCCAAGCTGCAGCCTCCATGGTGTTAGTTTATCATTCATGTCTTCAGGGACTTTCCAGCAAAATAGCACAAGAATGTAGCCTGGGAAGCCACATGGAAAATTTTACCAAGTGTTGTAGTTCTTACTATGTGAATAGGAAACTATAGTTTATAGTTATTGTGAATAGTTTGCTAACACGGTCACAATAACTGCCTTATATGGTGATAATATGTCAGTGTTGTATTGCTTGTTCAGCTGTCCCTGAGCGGCTAAAAAGTAATTAATGCAGATTTAGGAGTAAGCAGGTCCAGTTCATTTCATTAATTTTTAACATTTTAGATTTTTCTTTTAATCACTCCTTCAAATGTCATCCAATCTTTCCCAGATTCGGTACATACCATTTTTTTGTATGGTAACTTTAAGGTATTCTTGTGTTGTTTGATGCACCAGGGAAAGCTATAATTGATAGTTGCAACATTTAAATGCACTGTGCAATTGCAACCTAACTAACTAACTCAACACACGTACATACTGGCTCGAAGTAATTCTACAAAATTTGACAGCATTCTGTCTTTAGTTGGCATTACAGAAACATGATACTTATAAATGGTCATAACACAAAATAACTGGCCATAATTGCATTTAGATGTTCTTCCAAAATGTCATCAGACTGTTGTTTGCTGTGATTGGCCACTGGGGGGTGCTGAAGTTTAAGGATTCCAGTAAAAAACAAAAAAACGTCTTTAAACAGAATCATCATCCATGCTCAGCAGCAGTCACCTCTATTTCCTTCATTAAACAGCATTTCTAGTTTCATATTTAATTCAGTAATAGCATAGAAAATATATAGCTGTAATTTCTGAATGTGTTGTCGCACTGTGCATTAGGCCCTTATGTACCAGCTAATCCTTTTGTCCTCTGGTCCACAGATACCTCTGCTCCAGAAGATGATCAGCCCACAGTGCCAAACAGCCATGTGATGAATCAGGCCAACGACCCGTTACTCTGAATCCTTCGACATATATCTGCCTCAAGCATAAAAGTAGTATTTTCAGCCTCTGACCCCTTTATGCAACTGCCTTTGACCAGAAACATTTGACACCAATCAAGAGGGTTTTTTATATTTTTAAGAGGTTTTTAATTTTCTAAAGGAAAATAAGATGGGGCCTTACTTCTTAAGGACCAGACTGTATGTATCTTCTGTTGTTTTTAATTTTCGACACATTTATTCCTATGACACTGCACTAGTTAGCCAGGATTATATGCTGCAGTCCTGTTCCATCATGTACAAGTCATCCAAAGCAGAGTTGGAACACTTTGAATGTGGTTGTGTTAAACATTATTTATAGATAGAAAAACACCACGGTCTTCAGGAGTAGATACTGGTAGGAGTCTAAAACATATAAGGACAAATATGAATATTGTTCTCTCCACCAGAGCTGTTTTAGAGCTGCCCAAAGTTTGGAGGGCACTACTTCCATGTCAGGTGTTTTGATATTTATTCACCGTGGGAGCACAGCAAAGTGTCCCAGCTCCTGCCTCTTCATTGAACAGTCATTCGTCTAATGCTCAGACAGTGAGCACAGTGTCAACTAGGCAGCTTTTATTTCCTCTTTACTTTTAAAAGGTATTTTTTATATAGATTAATTAGACTTACCTCTGACTCAGAGAGAACTTGATGGATAACCAAACCACGCTGACACGTAAGGCTCACCAGATCCTCACCCACTGTGATTGTGAACTTTACAGTAGATATGATATCAGTGATATTTGAATCACTTGTGCGATACTTCTTACCTCCCGGGAATTGTCATGTTGCCTGTCTTCTTGTTCTAATGTGCAGTGCCTGTTCACCACACTAACCTTAGGACAGTGGTTTGGCTTTAGTTGGATTTACAGGATGTCAGAGTATATTATTGTGTTTATAGATGGACAATTTTGTTCCCTGTCCTCATAACATCCGCTTATACTAACAGTAGTGTTTACTCTTCACTTTTGTCACATGTTTGAATAGAAAGGCGGATATAAACATGAAGCAAACACATAATACAAAGCCATATTTAGAAAAGCTTAGCCTTAACAGACCCCCTGGACGCATGTCAGGCTCACTGCACATTTCTTTCTTACTCATGTAGCCCATGGTAGAGTTAGGAGGAGGAAAGCGGGACAGAAGTAACAAAATGAATGCTCAGAAACCTGAGACAAACTCCTCCTTCTACTCAGACGTTGTTTCAAATGTGTACGTATTTTTGTAACTTTAAAAGAGTACACCTGGTTGAACCTGGGTTGAAAGTTGCCACTGTTTTGCGTATCTGACCCAATCTGTGGTGACAAAGCAGGAATTAATTGTCACATTCAGTCGCTCCGTAAACTCATGAAGTTGGGGAAAATAAGCACGTGAACAGGTCGTGAACACTGAACATGGTGTTTGTGCTCGGGTGGTCTTCAGTTTGTTTAAATATAATATCGAGCAGTTGGACCGCCGACTTTTCCTGCTGCAACATGTACATTTTCTTGTTGCTCACTGATGAGATCGATCTAATTACTACATGTAGTCTGTTACAATCATTTAAACATTAAAGTCAATGTCCAAAGTGATGGTTCTGTGTTGCATACACAGTGTGCCCAAATTGTATGTTTCAAACTCTAGATGGCAGAATTTGAACCCAAACTGAGTTACACTCTAAGATAAATGAGCCTTTTGTTGCTGCCTCTTATACATTTAAACCTCTGTGTTGTATTGCCACATTAGTTTGGGCTGCCCTTTTTCTTTTTTATTATGTGTTTTGCTTCTGGTAAATCACACCGTGAATGATCATTAACCACTTTTTAGAATCTGTGACCTTAAATGTTTTGTTTGTATTTTGTCGCTGACCATTAAGAAGCTGTCATAGTCGTACCATTTTCTTTATTTTTCTGTGAATAAACATGTGGCTTGTTTGGTCTGAGCACATTTCATCTCGTTTCTGTGTTTGGCAAGTTCTAATGTGTTTCTGTGACTATTTTACCTGTTTATAAATGTTGTGTAATATGTGATTAACGGCATTAGTCATTCAAACCTGACAAAGATCACCTGATCGTGTAGCCACTGTCCCATTTTCAAACCCGCGAGAAGTCACTGCAGCCCGGCGGAGCCCTCCAACAGTTTAGGTCTGGAGATTCAGACATAATTTTTAAGTCAGCTTCACGATAGATGATTGATGTTTGTATTCATTTAGATTCATTCATCTACATGGAATCTTTATTCACCTGTTTGAAAGGCTGCACCGGTCCGGTCATTTGGATAGAGTGGCTGGTTTGGAAATGCAAAATTAACTCTAAATGAAAGTCGTAATTACTCACAGTAGGACTATACTTTTGTAATGATCCTGTTATTTAGAAAAGTAGATTTTGTTTCTGTACACAGTGCCTTGTGTTAAATAATGAAGAGGATCCAGTTTTTTGACTATCAATTATCATGACCTTGCTGTCAGACAAAGTAAAACTTGTAGAATGTGTTTCTTTCCACTTTTTGTTTGATGTACTTTATGGCATTCTGTACAAGGGAATTATTTATATATATATATATATATATATATATACACACACACACATTTTGACCATTGTATTGTGTACCAAACAATACAATGTCTTGATATATATCGTCTAATCAGAAGAGTAGCAACTTTACCACTCCCAAGTGGCATTTTAGAAGAGAATGTGGTAAAAGACCAAATACTATAGACCTACGCCTTAACTCTTGTCTTCATCTGAAACATGTCTGTCTGTTGTCTATCATTGAAAATAAACTGTCTCTATTTAAATTATATTGTTGGTTTATCTTCTCATGTAACACTGGCCTTCAGTAAAACGGATCCAGCATGGCATTTTAAGCATGTGTTCATGTTATTCTGTGTTGTGTGCCGTCTTATAATAAATGTTTCACCACTTCCTGTTGGCCTCACTGTCTGTCTGTTACAGAGGTATTATATTAGGAAGGCTTGACTTGGCGTCTCACGCACATAGCTTGCAAAGATGACATTGCCTGCACTACTGTGTATCAGTATTTTATCAGTGGTCGGAGGTCTGGATGCTGGTGAGTTGACTGACATAGTGGTAAAAACATCTCAAAATGTTACCCATACTTTGAGTATGACACACTTTATATCCTGTATGACAAGCTGGACCCAAGTGAGCTGTACAACCCTTACATCCATCTTCTTGGCAAAGATGATATCTGTAATGAACACCTCATGAAATATTGTCATGCATCCCTAATGTTTAAGTCTCTAAGTGGCGAGGTGTATGCTCCCCCACCACAAGGCCAGTTCTTAGAGGGAACTGCCTGGTCCCTTACAGGACCAGCTCCCTCAGCCAGTCTGGCTTTCCTGTGAGAGCTTCTGGAGTACCCTACCAGCTGAAATAAGAAACTGCACCACATGCCAACAGCCTTAATTTCATTATCATTATTCTGCTAACATGTCCTATGCCTGTTGCAGACTGTTTGTGTGGCTTGTGTATGTGTGGACGTATTTACTAGTATTTCATCCACAATGTGATATTCATTTTGTAAAATCAAGTCACTTACAACTGTGCTTACATATTTATTGTGTTATATTATAGATTTACTCATTTAAATTGAATAATTGACTATTACTATTAGCACTGTATTATGTTCACTGTTGATGATGGCTGGTAACAGTGTACTCTCTCTAACTACTTGATGCTTCTCTTCAAAGGCTAATGTGTGCAAAATGTGGTTATTAATATTATTGGTCATTTGTGCTCTGTTGCCTCATATTTCTTTGCATAGCTACATTTGCTTCCTGTTCTTCTGCATGCTTTATGCACATCTTGCCGAAGGACTGCAGCTGAAAGGAGCTGGATGGCTAACACTGGCACACATCTAAAGGAATGCAGATTAATGTGTGTTGTCCTTATAAATAAAGTAAAAAGAAATTAAACGTAAGGCTTGTTGTCAGACTTTTGTTATATGGAGTCCCTATGGATGTTCCCCCCCCCAACAGCTGATCTGGACAGCTGATGACCCAGTGAGAGTCCATATTCAACCTGAAGAGGGCAGTCACAGTCATCTCACAAGCTCCAACAGAGGACACAGATAACGCAGCAACACACTTCAATGATACTGTTAATACATAATAGCCATAAAAAACTACCAGTAATACTACAACTACTACTATTACCACTACAACTACAAATAATAATAATCATAATAACACATTTATTCATATAACTGATTATTTGGGTGTTTTTTCATGTTTAAGCCAATTTACAATTTGCTTTCCAAGATACTGCAACGTGTTTCAGATTTTTCTAAAGTGATTTAATATCTTCCAGACAGTTGTTCACTTTCAAATACTTTTCTGTACTGTAGGACAATAAAGCTAAGAGTGACTACAAATGTACTTGAGTTTTGTGTTGAAGTTACACGTTGCATTGCATTGCCAAATGGCGATAGTGAAACTTTGATTACAGTGAAAGCAAACATAATCTTCTTCACTGTGATGGGAGTTTCTTGTGGGGAAACCACAGTTGAACAGAAATGATCTAAACAAACAAAGTCTTTGCTTGAATCTCTGACTCACAGTCTCATTTCAATTTCAGATTCATTTTTAGAAAAAAAAGAGCACTGGGCCCAGACTTTAACATGTTGCAAGTACACGAACAATGATTTCACTTTGTTTTTCCTTGTAGACTTTCTTTAATGTTTCAAAACAACAGAATATATTCCCTGATGAGTAATACTTAATCAATTTTGTTTGGTTAATCAAGCCCAAAATGCATTTATGGATCCTCCAGTTTCTAGCTGAAACTTGACCCAGACAACTGATGTTCAGTGTTGGAAGAAGTATTCCGATCCTTAACACAACATACATAATATACATTTACATATATAATACTTTGTTATGAGCAAAAGTCCTTCATGCATAATCCTACTTAAGTACAAGTATGAAATTATTGTCACCAAAATGTACTTAACATATCCAAAGTAAAAGTACTGATTCATCAGAGAAATGGCCCCTGTGAATATGAAAGTATCAGATTAATACTGATGCATTAATCTGTAAGCAGCATTTTACGTTTGTAACCGGTCGAGGTGGAGCTCCTTTTAAATACAGTTAGTTAAGTCTATGTGTTCCCAACCTAGGGATCGGGCCCATCTAAAGAAACAAAATCGGAGGGGTCATGAGATGATTAATAAGAGAGAGAAAAAGAAGAAGAAAAGTTCTAATACACAAACATAAAGTCATTTTTTGTCTTTTCATTAATCTTTGCTTCTATGTAAAAATTCACAAGTCACATATGGCTGATGTTTTCAGATGACAGCGGTAAAAAGTACAATATTTCCCTCTGAATTGTAGTTCAGAAATGAAAAGGAAATACTGAAGTAAAGTACAAGTACCTCAAAATTGCACCAAAATATATACGGTAGTCTCTAAGTGCAAATTATTCGGTCTGCTCAATATGAAAAGAGCCCTGAGATAACTTCTGTTATGATATGGCGCTATATAAATAAAACTGAATTGACAGTACAGGACTTAGTTATATGTACTTACATTTTCCCCCTCAGTTCATCTTCTATATGCGCATGCCATGGGGTTGGTAAAATTTAATGCATTAAACCCCCCCCCCATAAATAAGAAATACGTGTGAAATAAATGCACACATTTACCTGCCACTCTCGTTCATTTCTGAGTCAATTGTGTTCAGAAGCTTAAAGGATGTCTCTGATGTTGCAGCTCTGTTTGGAGGCCTTCCTACAGGACACAATCTCCAGTTATTTAAAAGGGGGGGGGATGTGGCTCACATTACTCCTGGCCAGATGTTTCATGCCTCTGAAATAGAAACATTAACTACACTCAGTTAATGGGGGGAAATAGGAAAGAAAAAATTAAATTCTCACTCAAATCTTTTTTTTTTTAAACCTCCAGACATTATGTTGCCCCGGAGGATGATCAAAATTAAACTCTTTCATAATGTATCTCTCCCTTTTTTCATTCTTCCCCCACTCTTAATTAGTCTGCTTATGTAAAAACCTAATTTCCAATGAATTGTATTTTGCTCTGATCTGAGCCAGTGGGCTTTAGTTGGACAGGAGTGGGGGGCAGGGTGATACTGGACAAAGCTAGAAACATATTTTAGAGTATTGGGGAGGGGGGGGCACTGTACATGATGTAATGGCATTGAGATTGCCCTTACTAACATTGTAAGAGAATTTTTTCTCCACTTCATCTAACTACAGTTTAATCAAACCCTCAACAAGCTTCCCCCGATGACTTTGGATAAAGCCGGCTTGTTGCACAATGAGAGCTTCCTGCCTTCCTGTCTCCACATGAGGTGAAGAACAAAAACACTTATCTGTGAACGCAAATGGAAACGTGTAGAGAGAGTGCAGCATTTCTGCTGCAGATAAAGAGCCGGAGTGAAACTAAACCACCCAGATAGTCCTACCTCCATCTTTATCTGTGCCTACAGGAGGACCTCTCACACCCCGAACCAGCTCCCACACCCTAACTAGGGAGTGTGTTACCATGGTAACTGTCATGTCCCACCTAAAGAACATGTTGCAAGTCATAGACAGCGTCTATAAACAAAGATGTAGTTACTGAATTGAATTATCGTATCATTGTTGAAAACACTTGGAATCCCAGTCGTTCTCCGTCTGCAGGTTAACACTAACTGTGAAGAATGAACTTACCTTAGAATAGTGGTGTAGTTGTGGCTGAGATGTGCGTTGCTGATGATGTTAATGATTTGGTGTTGTAGCAGGAACACATTTATCAGCGTTGCTTGATAAATCACTACAATCAATATCTGAAAACGGGGTGGCTACAGTGTGTATTCTTTTGTATATGCTGAACTACATGACTCTGATCTCATCCAATTACTTAACAAGCTTTTTTGTTGATTTGATGAGTCCAGAGTTTCTTGCAGAAGGTAAGAGGCCAGAAGTCCCCCACGCAGACATATATTCTTTACAAAGACGGTCTATTTTATAAGGGATGTACACAACCTGTCAGGGATTAAAGACCTGCTCTATCACAGTCTAGGCCACCATTTGATGCTGTGAGTTTGATGTGTGGCATCTGTGACACATCCAATAAAAAGTCTGATAACATGACATCAGCTGACAAATCGTAGTATTAAATTCCAACCCATGAAACCATAAATCCAAGGGCTATGAGATCCAGAGGATTTAAGAGATGGTGAATATTAGTATGTATTAGCGCATTGTGAGATAAAGCTCCAAGCTTTTTAATAGATGATGACATTCTGTTTCAGCTTACTGCTGGCTTCTTTTTATTAGACTTGTAATAACATGAAAGGCCAAAACTCACAAATAAATTCTGTGAAATGGTTTGGACGTGAAGAATATTTGCAGAAATAAGAGATATATCGAGTGCTTCAAGGAAAGGGTTTGTAATGCTACTTCTAAGTCATGGATTCAATGTTTAAAAATCAACTCTGGTACAAAATGACTTCATATTCTATTGAAAAGGATATATGAATGGCCTCTTTCCTTTGATATAAATGAATGTTCTGTCAGCATAGATTCTTGCTCCTGTCGACTGTTTTCATTTGAAATAGCAGTGTATATGCAGTTAAAATAAAAACGGTATTCATGTGTGTTTCATGTGTTTTTCTGCAAAGTCCAGCTGGGTGTAATAAGGGTGTGGGCAATCATTGGACAGAGGCCATCAGGTCAGCACCAGATAAGAAAAAGTTCACCCTGTTCTGTCTGGTCCACCCATATGTCATCACAGTATGCTAATGAGCCGGGGGCCTTTAAGTGCCGGAGCCCAGCGAGCGGAGCAGTTAGGAGCCTGTGAACCAGACATGGAAGCGGGGCAGCCATAAAAAAGCAACACGTGAAGGAAAGCGTCCAGCCAGCCATCAAAGATGCCACGGCGTGCAAAAAGGTGAGTATGTAGCACAGAGAGGAGGTCGTGAGGCCTCTGCAGCAGGCGACAGAGATGTTGCTGTTGCAGGTTTACAGTTTTTTTGCTGTTTAACAGTATACTTTAACAAAAAAGGGAATTTTCTTCTGACTGGCATTTGAATACATGCCTTTTTTAAACAGAATCTTTACCATATGATTAACATTTTCACTGGCTGACCTTCACTGTGTGCATCACTGATGAGTCGTCTGTCTTTGCCTTGCAGATTACAAACAGAGCCGGAGCTCACTATGAACAGTTTTGTCTTGTACCCTGGACAGGATATCATCTTATACTGTAAGTTTATTAAAGAGACACTACAGTATAGATGATGTACTATCCAGGGTTTCATTCCCCCTACGGCACTACACAGACACACACTCAGGTCCAACTGACTGCAGTAGCTGCGCAATCTTTAGAGGAGGGCCATCAAACCGTTACCATTACTGAGTTTTAGCAATGGTAAGGGTTATATGGCCCTCGCTCGCTGTCTTCTGGACTGGGAGGACGAGGAAATTTGGTGATTGATGTGTTATTCATGAGCTCCTGGAGGACATCTTCTGATCCCATTTTTGAGATGTACTTGTGGATGCATGTAAAATAAAGCTTATGGCTCCCAAACAAATGAGTCTCATTATTTTGATAAAAACACATCTAAAGCAGGGTTTAAGCCTCCTAAACATCTTGTGTTTGAAGGATTACTTTAATGTGCTGGCTGACATGATGTCATAATATTTTCAAGCAGCAGTTGGCTTGTCTAAGTGGTGATCTCTGCTGCGCAACCGGCTTGTCTAATCACTGGGAAGCAGCCGTTGCAGAGAGCAGGGAGAGCTTGAGGGGCTGACACAGCTTCTGTGAGACATTCAAGGCCTCTCCCTCCCTCCCTCCCCCCTGTCGCCCTTGCTTTAGGCCACTAGCTGGTTATTCATCAAGATGCCCCGGATAGAGTAACCGTCACGTTAACTCACAGGCAGCAGGGATGAATCCAATCACCATTATCTGACCCATTTTAGCATCAGGTTAGTGCTCCATTTTGCCATCCATTAGGGAGACAATTCAGCCCTTGGGGGCAGAGTAGGGCTTTATAAGAGCAAAAAAAAGCATAAGGAGGGAGGGGGGGAGAGCAAGCAGGAAGAGAGACAAAAAGGGAAGAAAGCAGCAGAGCAAAAAGTGATAGTCGCAGCGATGGATGGCCACACTTCAAAGGCAGTGGAGAAGCTAAAGTGATGTGGGAGTGGAGGCAACAGGGGTGGATGGTACATCAGGGACATTAGAGTGAACATGACTGTGCAGGTTCTGCTACACGCAAAAGCGCCCGCCAAGTAAAAAGCTCTGAGAGCCAAAGATAAACCATCGGCCTTTTCACAGCTCGCCAAACCTGCTCAGCCATGAACACACTGTCAAACTTGTGTCAAAACATCCATTTGATGAGAGTCTGTGTTTGTTGCCTAAAATATATCATTGCTAAATAAATGCCAATAATTTATAAAAGTCTCTTCTGCAGATGGTGTAAGCTGCTTTTAACAGACATATTTTCTCTACTTTACTGATTCGAATATGTCAAATTTCTTCAAAGTTGGGGCACCTCTTACATTTTCCACTAATGTAATAACAGCATCTTATACATAACGTCTTCACATAAAAATCTTTAATAATATCTTATGAGACTGCATGAAACAACGCTGTTGATGCATGATGAGAAAGCAGTACAATTTCTATCCTTTAAACAGGTACCATCTCAGTGGGAGCTCTGGGACTTTGGATATATGCCATCACGCAGCTCCACATCTGACTCATGATGAGATATTATCCTTTGTTCGACTCTTCGCGTCTGTCCTTTGCAGAGAAAAATATCTCAACATCTCAAATCCAGCAGGATCTGTTTCCACCTCGTCGTCTCTTTAGGATTTCACCCTTAAAGTCCTTCCATCCTCTTCACTTCTTCAGCTTGACTGAGAGCTTCAGTTTTACTTGCCGGAGGAAGACGCGGCTCAGGTCCTCACCGGCCTCTCTGGAGATCCGTGATATCATCTGGCCAGCTGTGCCAATCACCATCCTCTATAAACACAAGAAATACAGCAACATCAGGCACCAGTGAAAAGAAGTTTTTATTTTGATGCAGGAAAAAACAGTCCCATTTTAGTAATGCAGGTTTAAGAGACTTAAAATGTCCCTGTAGAAAATAGTACAATGATATCTGTAGACATAACAGCAAAGGATATTGGAAGATAAACTTGACTTTATAATTCAAGTTAAAGATGGCATATTTCAGGAGAAATAACAAAAATCAGAATTTAAAAAAGAACCTGATAAAAAGATGTTTAGTCCAGAGAGCATCTTCTTATATTGACAATTCATCTGAATACCTACAAACTCTATATTTGAGGCTTTGTGTTTTGGCTAAAACAACAATGTTGTTTTAGATTTAGACAAAGAAAACTGCACAAATTGGCTTTGTACCAGGAACTATTTATAAAATAAACAAGATTCAGCAGTCGATCATCCCTGCGAGTTCTACATTTCTATAGTCTTTCCTCTGTTGAATGTAAAAGCTAAAAAATGGTGTTGTGTGAGTCACTCTTCTTGGAGGTCACTAACCTTGAAACATTTCATAATGTAGCACGTAGCTTCAAATATTCTTTGCCATCAAATATGAATGGTTTAGAAAGACTACTCAAATATTTACAAGTTGAAAACACAAGGAAAAGGGAATCTGGAGGTTAGGGAGAGCTGCAAATAAATATCCAATGCCATCAGAGAGGCTACAGGTGGCACGGAGGGGAAGATTGAACTTCCTCCTGCCACTTGCTCAGCATTTTGCATCAAACAGTGATATTTTAAACTGTGTTTGTTCTTACAAAGTAGTTTGTTTGTGCTGCATTGAAATTGCATCTAATTACTGTAAAAAAAAATTTATTAATTTAAAAAACTGCCAAACAGGAGAAGACATTCATTTTAATATTCTGTTTCTGATATTTGTCACTTGGCATTGGAAGCCAAAGGTGACAATCTGCATCACTGGTACTTCCCACGAGTACTTTATTAATCATATAAATAATTTTAAATGAGAGGATTGTGTCCAGTAGGAAGGCCTCCAAGTGAAATTGCAACAGCCAAGTAACATCAAACACAAAAACACCTGAGGTAGCCAAATTAAATGTAAGGTATACTAACCCAAGACTTTAAATAAGCAGCTGGACACACAGTATGTTTACACATGAGTCACAGCTCATGTTTAGTAAAAAATAGATAGTAATAATAGATAACTAATAGATACTTTACAAGAAACATGCCTCAAAAACCCATTAATGTGTAGCGAGCACTTACCATGTGACTGTCTTTCTTGGCATAAAGTTTCACAGAAATATCAAGCTCACAATTTTCTCCATCTTGCCAGAGTTCAACAGACTGAAAACGGAGACAAATGTTAATTCACTTCCAGAAAAGTCAACAAAGTGGACGTTTAAGAGCAGTGGCCATTACTACATATCCAAGATATCTTTGTATGTGTATTAAAGATGTCCTGCAGATAAGCCTGACTGGGGTCTAAGCTGGGTCTAATGCCAAACTCTGGCATTTCTATTCATGTATTGTTAGTTTGTCAGAAACATATGATTACGGTCAGTAACACAGTTTGACTTGGTGGTGTGATTCTACATGTGGGAATGCAGGAATACTACAGTAGCAGTAAATACAGACCAACATGATAAATAACACACAAAGAACAATGAAGCAATGAAAACAGTGCCCAAATGGGAAATTACATATACAGAATGGCCGCCCACAGTGCACCGGAATAGCAGATGTGAAGCAGGTGAGGCTGGGGCTAACAGCAGCATCAAAGTACATCATCACAGTCAGCAGCGAGTATGAAGGGCTTTAAATAAGCCACAGCATCAGTGCAGTCAGATGTGATGGGTGTTGTCAGTTAGCTGTCAGCTTATCCTCAAGTGCGGCTAGAGTGCCCCTGCAAAACTGGTTCATTAGTCACCTGTGTCATTGTATAGGGCACTTCCTGGGGCAGATACTCCAGAAGCTTCTCCCTGATGATGTTGGTGCAGACTTCCTCTGGACGCTGGTCAGTCAGGACCTCACTGTGGTACTGCCACGATCCTGGCTTGGCCACAACCATAAAGTAGCTCTACGCAATAAAAATGAGACAAAATGCATAGTTATTATCATTAAATTAAAAATAAAATCAAAAGTATTTGAGACAAAAATAACACATGCGATGTGAAAGAAAATAATCCTGAACTAAAGCCATCTTTTAAAATGAAATATTTTCAAAAATAGCTTGAATGTAAAAAAGGTGTCTTTTTAATTATGAGCAAGGATTTAAATGCTCCTTAGTTGCAAAAAAAGTGTTAATTTGGTTTTACTGTAGGGTGGGTCATTTTAGTTAAATATTGTACCTTCAGCGTGTCCACATCCTCTCTATCCACAGACGAGAGCATGAAGACATCCTTGAAGTGAGGCCAGCCCTGCTGGCTCCTCAGTGCCTTCAGCTGCTCTTTGCTCAGCACAGAGTTTGGCTCAGCGCTGTCCTCAGGCCCTGCGTTGTCCTCGTCAAGCGATGACTCTGAATCCCTTTCTTGCCTCTTTTCAGCCCACGGGGGCTTGATCACTGGCCTGACACGCATTCTGCGTCCGTTCACAATTCCACATGTCAACTGTGCTGTTATATCTAGCAGCCTGTCCTTAGCCCCAACCAGGTCCACCTTAAAAACAGAGGAGCATCAGTGGAGACGCTGTGTGATTCAGTGCAGGTGAACATTTCTTTGAATGTTTTGGGAAGTATTCAAGGAAATTCTGCTGATATTCTATATTTTTCTTATTGTCAACAGATCCTACGAAAAGACCAAAACCAACAATCAACTGATCTACTAACGAGATCGCTTGTGTAGTCAAAGCCTGACGTATGTTATTACTCTGTGTCACTGAGCTCCATTGTTGTCCAAACACTGACTCACTAACACACAAATGTGGAATAATCTGTACCTGAAAATAGTCCCCAAGAAATGCATTATTTAATCCTGTTGGAGCAGTGCCCTGCTATTATAGGAAATGATTTAGCCTTTTGAAAAAAGGAAACTGGATATCGATAAACATAAATTAATAAAGATTTATGTCTTCAGTTCAGTAGCACAGTATGGGCTTGGGGCTGAGTGCCACTGGATTAGGCAATAACACATTCTCAATTTTAGTCTTTTCATGTGATTTGTCGACTATAATGAAAAGATTGAATATCAGTAGGCTTATCCTTTATATTTAGTTTTAATATCTTCCTCAGGTATTTCAAAGAAGTCCATGCTGCATTACTGTTTATGTATTAGTGAATCAATTAGCTTTAAATGTGGAACCAAAATGACGAGTTTTCATTGGTGTGACGATCGGTGATGATAGAGTAGCAAGTGTATTATATCCTGAGGAAGAATACCTTATTGAGGATCAGGATTGCAGGGATGTCCGGGTGCTGGGCCAGGCATTTGAGCACCTCATAGTCAAGCCTGTTGCACATCCATCTGTCTGCCACATCCACCATGACTACGACTGAGAATGGATACAGTTCCAATTACATACGCCCTTGAAACTCTGCACTATATTTCACTTTTAGCATTAAAGAAA